TGTGAAAATGCAATAGAAAATGTATGAAATTTTGCGAGGGGATTTACCTTGGTGTCTAGCCGGCGAGCAAGGGTTGGGAGGTGCTCGATCTGACAAGAATCACATTGTTATCACCGTCGAAGCTATCTTCTACGAAACGATCCCGTTGGACACCTAGAAAGCGGTGCATGGGACGACGTCGGTGGGGAATCGTAATTTACAGTCTCCAAAAAATGAAAAAAAGATACACCGGTAACAATATATAAAAAAAAATGAAAAATAGTATATACTGTTCAACGAGGACGTACTGTTTACATCTAGTAAAATGTGCTTTCCAGGAAACCCTCCACCACCGAATGTCAACCCACGTCGCACATCAGGGAGCCCACTGCGGCGGATTTGTCGTGCGTAGGCGTTGAATACCCGAAGCGCACTACTAAAATTCACGCTGCGCCAATATTTTCAAATGTCCGTTTTGGTTTCATCGATTTCACCAAAGCAATCCGAACCAAACCTCAGCCAGCTCATCCCCCGCCTCATTCGCTGCCAGCCAGCGTTTCATCGTTACGCTGGAAACTACAGAAACCGAACCCAAACCATCTTCAACCCAACCAGCCCATTTCCACTCCAACCCAAGCCGATGATGGTTCAAGCCATCTGCTCTCAACCCATTTGTTAAGGAAGCATGACGGCCTTGCGGTGACATCAAGTCATTTCATCTCGAATCTCGATGACAGAAATGTCCACTATACAGCAACCAAGTAGAAGTTATTCTCGCCTTAGTGGTGCGATGTTTGCGGTTGAACGATATATTTCCCTCACTTCGTTCCGACAGAACCATGCCTTGTATTATAGCTCCAGCAAACTTCCTCGACTACTAAACTCCAACGTTCGCCATGCAGTTTTAATTAGAACCAACGACTCGATCGCGATCGGGCAACGTGGATGGCGGCGGCGAGCATTTGTCAACGCCACGAAGAAGCAGCGCCTAGAAGTTGCTGGATCGAGCTCAGTTCAAAACTGCGAGCTGAAAGATGATGCGAGCTGGAAGCTCAGCTCAAATATCGCACGGAGGCAGCATGCGTTACGCATCTAGTAGATACAGATATTGCCGTTTCGCTAGATACATGGCAAAACGGCTTTTGAGTCGACTCAAGAGTCAACTGCAGACTGCATGCGTCTCGCCGCAGAATCTCGAAATTCCGCTGCTAGATATGCCGCCAAACGCGGCCAGCTGCGAGCTGCGACCTCACCTCAGGTCGAGCTGCGACCTGTTGCGACCTGCGTCTCCCTGTATGTGTAAGAATACTGTATGTTTCTTTTCATTCTTTCTTTCTTTTACACAACACAACTCGGCGAGTGACTCTCATCCCAAAAATTGGGCTCGCAAAATCCTACCCCAGGGTTTCCCCCAGGTTACCCCGCTGTGGGTAACCCAAAGGACTCCATCTAGGAGTCATCGAGGTCACCTCAAAGTTCGTTGTGACCTCGAGGTTACCCACAGAGGTAACCTACAAGATGCCGTCAGGTCACCACGACGATTCCGCTCCCAGGTTTCTGGAGCCAATCAAACGACACCGTCGATCGCGCTGCGAACATTAATTTGAATAGTACACTCCGGCGTACACTAAATTAATTCGCTTTTTACGATACGTAATTAATGTGAGGTAAAAGAATAATTTCTCATTTGTGGTAACCGGGCTTTAACAGATTAAGCCAGCCACTTCCTCACATGTTCAAATTAGACTGTATTAAATATATCAAATGTGATGTACAAGCTGTATAAACAAGTGCTGGCTGCACATGATAATAAGAATCACACTGATTCCCATTTCAAACACCAGATCAGCTTGCACCAAAAGGCACCTTACTTTTGTGGAGTCACATAACTTCAGGATAAGCTCATACAGAAGATTGCCTGTCCGAACAAGAGAACGAAATCAACAAGCAGATAATGTGAAGTAAATGGGAGCCCAAAACAAGGAACCGCATAGCAGGGAAAAAATACCGTAACTCCACATCGCACCTGTCCCTTCAACACGACAGTCTTCTTGCCACAGCTAATGAAATCGTCGATTAGAACGCCTGGTAAGCTTATGTCTGCAGGGGGACGGTGCAAGTGCAACGATTTGCAATGAAACATGGAAACGAGAAAAATAAGCAGAACGACGACGAGAAGCAACACGAAATGACCCGCGCTGATTCTGCAGATTTCACAGCATTTTAGGTAAGTCAGAGTCGAATAGCTTACCTTACGAGCACAATTTAGAGCTGAACAGCGCATTTTATGGCGGCCCCGCGATGTTGGCGAAGAATCACGCATCGCTACCACCACCGGCTATCTGCCATTAAAAGGCAAACGTAAGAAAAACCAAGTGAAATACTCGTCAATAAAACTCCGCAAAACACAGAAAAGTCCTAGACGTAGCCGGTCAATTAGCGAATAGATAAAGAAAATACTATCTTAGCGTGCATGCATAGCTGTCGGGAAACTAAGCGCCTTACAAAAAACCTAAAAATGACAAGCGAGCGATCAACTGTGCATCCATAGCATGCCGCAGTGCCTAGAGACTGAGGTTCAAACAGAGACGATGATTGAGGCAGAGATAACTGATGGAACAACAATAAGTTCGTAGGTGGGGGGGGGGGGGATATACTTCTCACGATGAAAGCAGTGGAGTGACGAGAACAGCTGTGACTGGTGGTCGAAATTCTCGCTGCCACCCAGGGAAACCCATCATCCGATGCCCCAATATTGGGAGGCGCGATAACACCTCGAAACAATCGTACAACTTCGTTTGGATATCTGACTTCTGTCTTGAAAACAGCCTCGACTCCCAACCAGATGGGAAACCGAACCTGAAGCCGAAGCTCCCTCCGAAGCTGGGGGGTATCCCCTGGGTTACAACGAACTGAGGTGAAACATGATTGGTCCGCATCCGTTTCCCGAAATGCCAAATGCGATAATTACCACTTCGCAGCAGTCGCCAGAGCGCAAAGGTAACCTGCGGGCAAGTTGATGGGAACTTTGGGGTTACCCCCTGAGCGGGACTGGGGGTAACCCACGCTTTCGAAGCGATTTTGGCCTCGAGATTTTTGGGACGCTGCCGCCCGCTGAAACAACTTGTTCAGGCTGAGGCTGTCGTTGTCGCCTGTCACCTTGGCGTTCTCCCATTGGTGCTCACCGGCACTCCACAGCGTCTGGCCAGGATTGGGAGCCGCCAGCTGGCGTGGAGCCGCCTCGTCAGCCTGGCAGTTTGCCACACTGCAAATGCTCTCTATGTCGACTTTAGACCTCTAGCCTTCAAAGCTTGAGAGCCTTCAACGCCGAATGTCTTGCACCACTTCTACTGTAGTACCAATCACTACATACGTGTACCCACCGTGCCACTGTGTTACCGTTTACCTCCGTGCTCTTGTTAGCGAACCTTGTCGAGGTGCATGTGCGACGTTTTCTAGCGCCTATAGAAATGTGAGAAGGCTTCACCGGGCGTGGCGTGCACTCGCGAAGATGATGCACTACAAACGGCATTGCATGATAGTCGTCGTCACTGTATCACCGTTTACCTCCACGTTTCTCCTAGTCGAGCATCCTAGTCGAGCAATCCTTGTCGAGGTGCAAGTGCGACGTTTCTAGCGCTCTGCCGCAGGCTGCGGCTGAAGCCCGCCCCGCCAACCTCAGCGAGGAACCCGACGCGGGCGGACGTTTACCTCTCGATCGGTTCGGCCCGAACCGGAGAAGCATTTTTTCGGTTCGGAACCCGAGGCATTTACCTCTCGAAGCGGAGGGGTTTACCTCGGTGGTAGAGCTTGGACCGGAGGTGCAAACCGACCCCTAGTAGTAGTACTAGACTTGGGAAAAAATCGGCGACCGACCGACCACCCATGTGACATGACAACGTGCGATGATGGCCGCTTCGAATGGTGCCTCAATTTGGAGAACAGGTGCAAATGTTGAGTGTTGTTAGTGGACCGTTGACGCCTGCCGCACTGCCACTGCCACGAGTCTGAGGAGCATTCGATCATATAATGATCCCTCAGATTTGAATCACTCTCTCCAGTGTCTTCCAGTCACGGTGCCTTCCAGTCTCTGAGTCGACTCTGAGTCGACTCAAGGAGCATTCGATCATCATCCTTCTGACCTGAATCACTCTCCAGTTCTACGCTACTACTCTTCTCTACTATTCTCTACTCTTCTTCACCGTCCTCTACTCCACTCTGCTGCATTTCTCAGTCACTGCTGCCCTTTGGATCTAGGAGCTCTCAAACGCGACACTTGATGTGGTTGTTGTAGAGAAAGCGTGCGGCCCTTTCGACCACGTGCTCCCCACGTGCTCCCCACGAGCTCCCCACGACTAGGGCCTGAGCGAAGGGTTCAGAGAACAGCTGAGGGTACGGTTGAGCGAACTGTTGAGTGTCCGGTTGAGAGAACAGTTGAAAGTACCACGGTTGGAGTTACAGTTGAAATTACGGCTGAGAGAGTACAAATTCAGATGGCTATAGCTGAAATTGCCCACGGGGAGCACACCTCCATTTCCAGTGTGCTCCACGATCCAATCGATCCAATCCCGATGCGCGCCGCAAGCGCTGTCAGCAGCCTCCACGTGCAAGTGACTCAGCAAATGACTCATGGAATAAGCCCTACAACTTCTACTACTAATGCTGGTACTACTGCTAGTAGCAGCAACAAGTTTTTGCCCCCTGCTGCTCCTCTGGGAAAGAGGCGGTCTGAGGTAGGCCAAGTGCAAGATTACCGTTCCAGCAGCACGGGTGGGGGCGGCAGCGGAGCGAGAAAGAAGAGGAGGAGAGCAGTGGCGGCGGAGGTGGCGGCGGCGGCGGCGGCGGAAGCAGAAGCGGATCACTGTGGAGAGAGCGACCTGCATTGGCGGCGGCGGCGGCAGCGGCAGCGGCAGCGGCAGCAACAGCAGCATCGGCAGGAGGAAGAGGAGGTTCAAGTTGAGGCAAAGCATGACTCTGAAGCAGGATCCAGCTTGGAAGATGCCAACAAGGAAGACAGCGACATGGGTGGAGCATATCCGGGCAGTGCTGCTGCTGGTGACCTTGGTGCTGTTGCTACTGGCACTGCTGCTGCAGCTGCTGCGGACGATGGAGGCAACAAGGAGGATCACAGGTGGTATCGGTGGAAGAAGGGGTCCCACAAGTGGCTGGCTGGGAAGCCAGTCAAGAGGATTTACTACTGGTGTGCCTGCAAGGCTGTAACCGGGTGCAAGGCGCGTAAAGTAGAGGACAGACTTGCCTTGGACAAAACCGCTGCTGCTGGTGATAGTGGTGGCAATGGGAACGACGGCGGTTCTGCAGTGTTGAAAGGTGGTGGTGATGGGTTGACTGCTATTGGAGGCAGTGAGAAGCAGAGGAAGGTGATTCGCGTGGTGCTGATGGGTCACCACAACCACTCCCCTTCCTTAACTGAACAATACCATCGGCTCGCCTTTCTGGCCGAGCTAGACAATCAGCTATCAGGCACACCTCCTGAGCTGCCATCCCTGAAACTGACAGCTTACACACCTCCTGAGCTGGCATTTCTTAGGCTGATAGCTCACATGAAAGCATCTCCTGAGAAGCCTTGGAGAGCCCTCAAGGGCGATCCCAGCAGCCCACTTTCCGTCCCACTGCCTGTAACAGCAGCAGCAGCAGCAGCAGCAGCAGCAGCAGCAGCAGCAGCAGTAGAAGCGGCAGCAACACCAGGTGCAACAGCAGCAGCTCCGGCAGCATACACAGCAGGAACAGCGGCAGCAACACCAGGAGCAACAGCAGCAGCAGCAGCCGCGTTCTGTCAGAAATCCACCCAGCCAACAAAAGAACCCCTCTCAGGAGGTCATTACAGGCCGCCCCAGCAGCAAGAAGAAGCTCACTTGACTGCAGAACCCACGTGTAAACCACACACAGTTCTCCCGCCTGCCCCACGGAATGCCTTCATCAGCCCTTGCCAAGGCCCTGACCTCTCATTTCAGCCGAACCTGGCTTCATCTCTTGAGTTGCCTCGGCCAAACCTGGGTCCATCTCCTAACCTGCCTCGGCCGAACCTGGATTCTCTGTCAAATCTGGCACAAGAGGTCTGGATGGGGTTAATGCCAAGGGAATTGATGCAAGCAGCAATCCAAGATTTGCTGCTGGAAGGGCTTCAGAACAACACTCAAGGATTGGTGAATGCTCCTTGGTTTGGAAAGCAGCATCTGCCACCTACGGTTTTGGATTCGGCTTTGGTGAAGCAGCAGCAGCAGCAGCAGCAGCAGCAGCAGTGGCAGTTGCAGCAGCAGCAGTTGCACTCACACGGCCGAACTCTCAGTGGTGTTTCTTCTCCTTCACTTTCCCCAACTCCCCACTCCTCTGTCGATTCCACTCCTTTTCATCCCTCTACTGCCCCTCCCTCTCCTCTTCCTCCCAGATCTGGTACCCTCCCTCCTCCTTCTACACCTCAAGAGCCCCTGGCCATTTTTGAGGTGCCTCAACAGTCATCTGGTATCCTCCTTCCTCCTCCTACAACTCAAGAGCCCTTGGCCATTCACACAGCAGTGAGCAGCTTCGCCTTACACCCAAGCCAGGCAACAGCAGCAGCAGCAATTCAGGGTATTTATAAGAATTCTCGAAAGTACCCTGCTCCACACACCAGCCAGGCAGCAGAAGCAGCAGCAGCAATACAGGCCTTGCTCCGGACGTCTCCTTGCAACCCTCCTCCTCCTCCCACTCAAGACCCCCCTACCACTCGCCCACTCACGAACACCATCACTCTGCACCAAAGCAGGGCAGCAGCAACCCAAGACTTGCTACGACCCTCCAATGTGCTACAGCCCTCCGATGTGCTACAGCAGAGAACGGGTGCTGCCGTTTTTGAGTCAACCCAAGAAGCAACCCAATCCTTGCGACCTATGGCTGGCTACAGCCGAGAAGGGGTGTTGCCTGAGGCGCTTCAACAGAGAAAGGCTGCTGTTGCTGCTGTCCATGCGTTGTTGGGTTCCCAGGGATACGTTTTTGAATCGCCTCAAGCACATAGCAGAGCTGCTGCTGATGCCGATGCTGCTGCTGCTGCTGCTGCTGCTTCTGGTGCCAGAGCTGGTACTGACGCCACTGCTGCTTCTCTCCACGCATTGCTGCAGAGAGCACAGGAAGAAGGAGAAGCATTGCCCAACCTTGCCACCCACGCACCCATCTCCATGCAGACACTCTTGGAACTCCTATGCACTAATGCACCCACGCATGCGCTTTCAAATCTCCCTGGTAACGACAGCTTGTCTGGACTCACCATTACCCCGTCTAGCTCTTTCCCCACCATTTCTTCATCTCTCCCTGCCTCTCTCCACTCTCCTACAGTTCCTTCCTCTATCACCTCTCTCAATTCTTCCCCCTCTCTCCCAGCTTCCCAGCCTACCCCCTCTTTCCCCTCTCTCCCCTCTCTACCTTCTCTCCCTTTGTTCCACTCTCTCCCCTCTCCATCCTCACATTGTGCATCCACGAACGGTTTCGGTGCCTGTATCGTGAATCCTCAGAGCACATCGAGAAAGGTTCTCAGCCCCCTAAACACCTCTGCTGCTGCCTCTGCTGTAACGTGTCCCAACGGGTGGTCAGCAGCAAGGCCATGTGCGCTCCCTATGCCGCACAACAACAATGCAGACGTATCCATGCAACCCTCATGGGCACAGCAGCAGGGATCAGATTTCGCCACACAGGGCACAGAGCAGACCAGGCCCATCCAGAGCCACCCACCTGCTTTTACTGCAGGAGAGGCAGCAGATGCTGACGGAGTTAGCCTGTCAGATGCTGACGGAGTTAGCCTGTCAGATGCTGAGGGAGTTAGCCTGTCAGATGCTGAGGGAGTTAGCCTGTCAGATGCTGAGGGAGTTAGCCTGTCAGATGCTGAGGGAGTTAGCCTGTCAGATGCTGAGGGAGTTAGCCTGTCAGATGCTGAGGGAGTTAGCCTGTCAGATGCCACTCTTGCTGCACTTATCAGCCAAGGCCCTGCTGCAGCAGCCTCGTTTGGCACAGAAGGGGGGCTTTCCGATACTACCACTTGGCTGCAGCTAACGAGGCAGGCGATTCTTGAGACGCCGCCTGGCGATGGAGAGATGGGAGAAGTGAGGGGAGGAGAGGTGAGGGGAGAAGTGAGGGGAGGAGAGATGGTATGGAGGAGAGGTGATCTGAGTGGCAACAGCCAGGGGCTGATAGATAATGCAGAGGAAGAAATTGGCGACGGGGAGTTAGGCTCGGAGAGTGATGTAGGACTCATATTTGATTCATTGCAGCATGAGTTAGACATGGAGTAATGGGCGTAGAGTACGTAGGGAGGTTTTTTTTGTAAGCCTTTTATTGGAAGTATGTGAGTAGGTATCTGAGATGATACAGCAATAGGAATTTTGGAGTCAAGACAAGTCACTCGTGGTGATAAGCCCATGTTCTAAACCTCATGTCCAGATTTGGTCGTGAAGGACATCTCAACACAACAGTCAATGCACAACTACTAGTTCCGTAAGGCTGTCAGGCGTCTCAACACAAGTTCCGTACCTAGATAGAACGGTAAATCCACCAGCCACTAACCAAAACCGTAATACGCTACCGTAAGTCGAGTTCGCTAGCTATGGTAGGGTTTAGTCTGGGTCGAATCCCGATTCCTGGTGTCTTTATTGTTCTAGTATGAAAAACGATCATGAAGTTTGTTCTGTTCACTTAGACCCCACATTAGGCGGTTCCGCTTTCGGATTCACCTGTGATGTTAAGAGAAATAACTGTGATACAAACGTTCAAAAGATTGTAAATATAAATTTATGGAAAACAGATGCAACATTCAAAATAGTATGAAATTACAGTTGACTGAAACCCAGACGGAATATTCGGAATCAATATTATACTATGAAAATACACTTAACTGGAAACCAGACAAGTCAAAATACATCATAGGCTAGGCAACACATTTCAAAGCATGGTAGTCGCATTGCGTCGGCACCAGCAATAGCCGGTTGGTGCACAAATTGCAGTCTAAAAAACTCTTGAGCGGACTAATAAACAGAATCACCTGGTCGTAGGTACCGTGGTACATGCACCAGTACTCGAATCGAAAACCAGAGTGTTTAGGGTTTAGGTGCACCCCTGTGTGAGGAGGAGGGTCAAGAGGAGACGAAGATTCCGTGCAATAGGCTTGGCGCTGCTCGTATTCTGGTTGTGCCGGGACCATGCCATTCCAGAGTCATGAGTCATGACCGTGATGGCACAGTCCAAAGTCCATCATACGGTACCTCCACCCGGTTGAATAAACATCCGACACCGTAGACCCATCTGCTACACGTGGTATTTGAGTCGACTCAAAACTCACCTCGGAACATGCCTTTCCAGAGTCATGAGTCATGACTATCACGGCCCAGTCCATTTTTGAAGGTGCTTAAATAAACGTCATACTTACACCCGACACTGTAGTCTGTACACTATGGGCTTGACACGTTGACACTCTCCCCCTCCACACTCCATGGCACTCCAACCCAACTCAAGTGCCTTCAGCAGCAGCGGTAGTAGCAAAGCCAGAGAGTGGAAAGCAGGTTGTGGGCCAGTATGAGCTTGGCAAAGGCCCCATCCACACTCCATGCCATACACTTTCCAAGCCAGTACCCGAATCAAGTGATTGCAGCAGCGGTGGGAGCAGCAAAACCAGCAGCTCGCAGAACAGAGAGCAGATCCTGTGCGACAATGGGCTTGGAAATCGCCCCGTCCATGCCCGCCTGCTCACACGCCTTGCGGATTCTCGCATCCAGGTCCGCTGTCAGCGCCACCACACACAGCCGCGGCGGGTTTTGAGGTGCGGAGGAGGGGACGGGAGGGTTCGGCAGGGCTTCCCGTGCCCTGATGTGGCGGCATGTCTCGAAGCTGCGATTGAGATATACACGAGGGAGGGAGAAACGGAAAAAGGTCATAAGGATGGGTATGTAAGTTACTGATTCTGTGCCTTTGATTGCACAAACTTATCACAAACCCCTTCAGCAGAAGAAGAAGAAGCACCAAAAGAACCAGGAGTACCAGAAGCAACCACGCGACTCACCCGAGAGAGCGCGAGCAAAAACGAGTGGGGGTGCAGCAGGCAGGCGCTTGTGCTCTGTGCTCACCACAGCAACAAGAGACTCACCCGTCAATTCCCCGAGGCACAGTAAGGGCGTGTGTCCTTGAGGTCGAACTTTTGCCAAAGTTCGAACTTCTAGAAAGGTTGTACACGGTAGGATACGTTTGAGAGACGTGTCGCCACGGTACAAAGCGGTATTAGGCTCGAACTTTGACAATCTACACCAAGAGACACGCGCCCTAATATACACGAGCGCGCGCCAGCACAAACGAGTGCGGGTGCAGCAGGCGCTGCAGGGCAAGCTCGCCAGAAGCACACTAGGAGGGCACCAGAGGCACCAGAATTACTAGGAGAACCACCCTACTTACCCGTCGATGCCTGGAGGCATATTAATATCAACTAATGCAAGGACAAAGGCGTGCGGGTGCAGCAGGCGCTGAAGCGCGAGCTCCCCACTAGCAGCCACCTCCACGCGCGCCCCCAGCCCCACCAGAAGCAGCAGGAAAGGCAGCAGAGGCACCAGAAACACCAGGAGAGCCACGCAACTCACCCGTCAATGCCTGGGGGCATATTAATATCCACGAGTGCCAGCACGAACGAGTGCGGGTGCAGCAGGCGCTGAAGCGCCAGCTCGCCACTGGCAGCCACCTCCACGCGCGCCCCCAGCCCCACCAGACTCTTCCTGGCCACCACGCGGTTCACGGCGTTGTCATCCACCACCAGCACCTCCCTCCCGCCCAGCATGTGCCTTAGAACTGATGACGCGTCCTCGAGTGCGAGGCGGGAATACAGTTGCTGTGGGAGGTCTTCCTGCTCTGAGCTTTCTGCTGCGGTGACGGGAGCTGATTCGGCTGGAGGCGGGGCGAAAATCTGACGGAAAAAAGGGGAAGGGGGAGGGGGAAGAGAAGTAAGGAGGGAAGGCTCTCTTCCGGGCCACCACGCGGTTCACGGCATTGCCATCCACCACCAGCACACCTCCCTCCCGCCCAGCATCTCCCTTATGACCGATGATGCGTCCTCTAGCGCTAGGCGAGAGAAGAGTTGCTGGGGGAGGTCTTTCTGCTCTGAGGTCTCTGCCTGGGCGCTGGGCGCAGAGGGAGCTGGAGGTGGGGCGAATTTTTTTTTGAGAATTCTCAAAAAAACATATGGAGGTGGGGCGAAAATCTGACAGGAAAAAGGGGAAAAGGAAGGGGCGAGAGGGGTAAGGAGGGAGGAGAGGGGTAAGGAGGGAGCCGCTCTTCCTGGCCACCACGCGGTTCACGGCATTGCCATCCACCACCAGCACCTCCCTCCCGCCCAGCATGCCCCTTAGTACTGCTGATGCGTGACCAGCAGCTCCACGCTGATGCGTCCTCTAGAACCAGGCGGGAGAAGAGCTGCTGTGGAAGGTCTCCTTTCTCTGTGTTCTCTGCGGTGGTGATGGGTGGGGAAGATCTGGCGGCTGGTGGGGCGAACATCTGAGGTGGACGGGGAAAGCGGGGAGAGCGAAATGGGGAGGGTGAAGTGAGGAGTGAGAGGGAGGGGAAAGGGGAGAGAGGGTCGGTGAGACAAGTGGGGCGGGGGGGGGGGGGGGGGGAAGGGGGGGGGGAAGGGGGGGGGGGGAAGGGGGGGGGGGAAGGGTGGGGGGAAGGGGGGGGGGGAAGGGGGGGTGTGGGGGGTTTGGTTTGAAAGAGCAGTTGGTGGAGTGGCTGCAGAACTCCCACCAACACCCACCCTCTCCGCACATACCTCTCCACACACACCCAGCAGCACACACCTCTTGCAGCAGCCGGGCGGCATCACTGGCCATCCAGGGGCGAGCGAGCACGTCACTGAACTTGGCTGATCACACGCCTTCACACACACTCCTCCTCCCTCTGTGCTACCATGCCATACACACCCACCTAACTCCTTACCTCCTGCACCCAGCAACCCCAGCACCCCTTAGTACCCTTACCTCTTGCAGCAGGCGTGCAGCATCGCTGGCCATCCATGGGCCGTGCAAGCACGTCACGGAACGAGGTGACTTTTGAGTCGACTCAAGGTGACTTTTGAGTCGACTCAAGGTGACTTTTGAGTCGACTCAAAAGTCACCTCGTGGCGGTGCAAGCACGTCACGGAACCCCGCTGCCCGTGCCTGCACGCCCTCACATGCGCTCCTCCCCGCCAGCACCCCTAGTAGTACCCACCTGTTGCAACCCCAGCACCTCTAGCAGCTTACCTCTTGCAGGAGACGGGCAGCATCACTGGCCATCCAGGGGCGAGCAAGCACGTCACTGAACCCGGCTGCTCTCGCCTGCACGCCCTCACACGCACTCCTTCCTCCGTGCTGCCATGCCATGCCACACACACCCCTTGCACCCAGCACCCCTACCTCTGGCACCCAGCACCTCTAGCAGCTTACCTCTTGCAGCAGGCGAGCGGCATCGCTGGCCATCCAGGGGCGAGCGAGCACATCACTGAACCCCGCTGCCCGTGCTTGCACGCCCTCACACGCGCTCCTCCCTGTCAGCACCAGCGGCGGGTGCGACACATTCGAAAGCAGCTGCGGCAGCGGGTGGGGCGTGGGGAGCGGGTTTGATGTGGGGAGTGGGTTCGGCGTGGGAAGCGGGTTTGGTGTGGGGTTTGGGTGCGGCGATCGGAGCGGCAGCTGCATGGGAAGCAGAGCAGGCGGCGGGGAAACCGATGGGTTGGACGAGCTTGAAGGGAAGGAGGAGGGGTGCGGGGTGGTGGGAGACGGTGGCGGTGTTTCTCGCCCGCCAGGGTGCTGCTGGTGCTGCCAGTGGGAAATCACTCGCTTGCCGAACCCAAACCCTGTCGCCGGACCGAACGCGTCTGCTTCGATAAACACCACGTCCCAACTCCCGAGCTTTCCTCCCTGCTCTCCGTCCTCTCCTTCCCCCCCTTCCTCTCCTTCCTCTCCTTCCTCTTCTTCCTCTTCTTCCTCTCCCTCCTCTCCCTTCCTTCGCTCATCGCTTTCCTCTCCTTCACCTCTCTCCTCTCCCTTCCTTTCCTCAGCCGTTGCACCACTCCACTCCTTGCCTTCGTCTATACTGAAACCGGCCGACCTCTCAGTCGCTGCAAAGGGCTTCATGGGACTTGTGGGAATGGCGAGAGTTACTCGGTTGCTGCTGCGTTTCGAAACGGCACCAGTCTGGCCGCTGCTGTTACCATTGACATTCTTACTGTTACCATTACTGCTGAGATTCCCGTTATCGATACTCTTGCCGCCGGTTCCATGCACATTAACACTCTCTCCTTCTTCTTGCCAACGCACCTCCCTCTCCTCGTCACCCCCTTCCTCCTCCTCTTCCTCCTCCTCCTCCTCCTCCTCGTCATCATCCTCCTCCTCCATCTCTCCCTCCTCATCCTCCTCCTCTTCCCCATCCCCCACCCTCACTCTCCTCCTCCCTGACTGACCCCTCCAACTGCTCCCACCACTGCTACAGCTGCTACTACCCATCAGCAGATACCCCGCCTGGCCGGCTGTAGCAGCTACAGCCACGGAGATCCCAAGGTACCTCAAACACTCGCAAACAGCCTCCCTCCTCAGCCTCATCCCATCCACCACCAACGCGCGCTTGCCTCGGACCGAACCTAAAACGCTCCGCCGAGCCTCCAGCCAAGGCCCGGCATCCCCAGCCGTGGTTTCATCCACTGGGGAGGTGTCATCTCCTGCCAGGTGTCGCGCTCTCATTGGTAGGCTGACTAGGATGGTGGTCCCCACACCCTCTTCCGAAGCCACTCCCATGGATCCCCGCATAAGACGAACCAGGCCAGTGGATAGGAGGAACCGAACAGGATACGGGCTCCATTCAGCCTGCCCCTGCAACACCTCTCCACCACTCTGCATCCCCTTCTTCGCACTCTGCACCGCCTCGTCACCGCTCTGCACCCCCTTCTTGTGACCACTGGCTACACCAGTAGTTCCACTGCTGCCGCCGCTACTGCTGCCAACACCGCTGCCGCCATTGCTGCCACTGCCGCCATTGCCGCCGCCGCCGCCGTTGCCGCCGCCGTTGCCGCCGCCGCCGCCGCTGTTTCTCCTGCTGCTGCTGTCACCGCTGCTGCTGCTGCTGCCAGTGGTGGTCTGCCCGGCAGGGTCCAGCACCCAAAGCAGCTCTTGGGAGGGAATGCCGCACCCCGTATCCTCACACACCATCACCACCACCACGTCTTCCTCTCTCACCGCTCTAAAACCCTTCGCCCTTGCTTCCCCCTCCATCGCCCCCGTTGCTCCTCCCCTCCCTCCCCCTGGTGCCCCTGAAACCCCCCGTGTGGCCCCTGTTGACCGGCTTGACTTGGCTGACTCAGGAGGCCTGTCAGGGGGTTTGGTCGAATGCTCGGCACCTAACTCCTCCTCATCCTCTTCCTCATCCTCTTCCTCCTCCTCTTCCTCCTGCTCATCCTCCTCCTCCTCGTCCTCCTCCTCCTCTTCTTCTCCTTCTCTCTCGTCTTCGTCTCCCTCCTCCCCTGCACTGGCACATCCCAACCCCTCCTCTTCTCCAGCCCTCCCCATTCCCCCCCGCTCACTCCACACCTCATCCCCCCTCTCATCCCCCATAAAAGCTTCCTCAATATCACCTCCGTCCCTCCTCCCCACCCCCTCCCCCCTCTCCCCCTCCACCTCACCTCCATCAACCATCCCATTCCCACGAATATTCAAGAAATGCCCATCTTCCCCCCCACCACCACCACCACCACTCCTGTCAGAAAACCAAAACCAGCGTTGGAAAACCCTCAAAGGAGCTGAGACGATGGGCTTCAGAAGAACGTTCACCACATCCCTTCCTTCCCAGCGCCCCTCACCGCGCCCTGTGCCATTCCTCCCGTCTCCCTTCCCCCTCTCTCCCTCCCTCCCTCTATCCCTCCCCCGAACCAGCCTTCTCCCACCTCCTCCCCCACCTCTTCCCTCATCCCCCCCCCCACCTTCCCCCCTACCTCCCCCCCCTCCTCCACCCCCACCCGTACTCCTGTTACCCCACACTCTGCCCGTCCCTCGCCCCCACACACGCCTGCTTTCTCTCCCCCACCTCGTGCGACCAGAGGGAACCGTAGCAAACACCACATTCTCCTGGAACCGACTTACAAACCTCTCCAACTGCTGGCACACCTGCTGAGCCTCAGGCGACAGAGAGACCACCTCTTTCCCTCTGCTGCCGCTGCTGCCACCACCGCCACCGCCGCTGCCGCCACCGCCGCTGCCTCCACCACCGCTGCATCCGCTGCTGCTGCCGCCGCCGTCGCCGCCGGTGCTGCTGCTGCTGTTCTCGATTCGCTGGTTCTGCAGCCGCCTTTTCATTCGCTGGGACACTATCCTTTTAAAATGTGTGTTGCCGCGGCTGAGAGGGCATGAGGAGGGTAAGGAGGAGGGAGAGGAGGAGGAAGGGGAGGCGGGTCGTTGTGCCTTATGCTGCGCTGATGCCAACCAGGTTGCCAGCCAGGCCTGTAGTGCTGTCACCTGCTTTTGCCCTTCTTGCTGCTGTTTTTGCCCTACTACTTCCCCCTGCTGCTGCTTTTGCCCTTCCTGCTGCCGCTGCTGCTGCGGCGGCGGCTGCTGCTGCTGCTGTTGTTGATTTTGTAGCCGACTTTCCTCCTCCTGTCTCTCCTGCTGCTGTTGCTGCTGCAGATTGCGGTTCATGCTGTAGGCCCCATGCTCGGTGACTGTTCCAGGTGGGGTTGCTACAGCCACCTCAGCTACTGCCGCACCTGCTACAGCTGGCTCTGCTACAGCCTCACAACCAGAGGCCGCAGCAGCAGCAGCAGAGTGGGTGGCAGCAGCGGCAGCGGTGGAAGCGGGAGCAGCAGGTATGGGTGTGGCGGTGCAGGGATGGGCGGGCAGGCACCAGATGTGGAAGGCTGCATGGCCGGATAGGGTGCTCTTGATGGCGTGACCTGGGGGGGCATGGGGAAGGAGAGGGGATGTGAGTAAGGTGACGTGTGAAAGGGAGAGGGTTTGCTGAAGGAAGAGACTCTTGAGGGGTATTGCGGGATAAAGAGGCGGTAGTGCAGTATTCGATCAAGAGGAAGGGAGAGCGCAAGCAAACAACGTTCAGTTCAGTTCACGTGCGGATGATAAAGGGACAAAGGAGGAGGGGAGGGAAGAGGAGAGAAGGGAGGATACGAGATGGCAGGGAGTGAAGAATACCCACGCACCCACTCATTTACGTATTTTTGAGTCCCGACTCAAAAATCAACTCAAAAATGAGTCGACTCAAAACTAGTGAAGAATACCCAACCCACGCACCCACTCATTCACGTACCCATGAGCTCGCGAATGACTTGGGTGACTCGGGTGGGATCCCCAATCAGAATGTCCGGCACACTGGGATCCACGTGGCAGAAAACTGGCAGGGCATGCACGGGACAGGACACGTGGGTGGGACACAAGGCACACAATGATTTGAGAAACGGATAGACGAGAAGAAGGAGCAAAGGAGCAGCACCATCTTCCTTTCAGAAATTGAAAGAGGGGGATATTGAGGAGATAGTGAGAAAGTGATGCTCACTATCTCCTCAGGAAGAAACAATCGCCTTGAACAGCCCCTCGGTTTACATGCCAGCCACCTCTCACCTTCTCACTCCCCTCTCCTCTCGACTCACATTCCAGGTGCCTCCCTTGCGCTTCAGCGAACAGCGAGCGAACCGCAGTCTCCAGGCACTGGTGCAGACTAAAGGGTACCGAGTCCAGCTCTAGCACATCCGCCTGCAGCTTAGCCAGGTCCAGAATCATGCTCAGCAGCCCGATCACCGACCCCGCATGCATACGTCCTCTCACTCCTCTCTCAATCTCCAATCATCACAGGACCTCATTTCTCACCAGCCATCTCTTGACTTGACTCACATTCTAGGTAGGTGCCTTTGACTCACATTCGAGGTGTCTGTCTTGTGCGTCAGCGAACAGCGAGCGGGCGGCCGTCTCCAGGCACTGGTGCAGACTAAAGGGGACGGAATCTAACTCCAGCATATCCGCCTGCAGCTTGGCGAGGTCCAGAATCGTGCTCAGCAGCCCGATCACCGACGCAGCATACGTCCTCGCATCCACCACATCCCTCATCTGCCACTCCTCCAGCTGCGTGTCTAGAAGCTCATCCATCATCCCCAGCATCCCATTGAACGGCGTGCGCAGGTCATGGCTCAGGCACGCGATGCTCTCGCTTTTGGCGCGCTCGGCGCGCTCTAAGAGGAGCGTGTACTCCTCCGCGGCGCGCATTTCCGCGCGGATCGCGGCGCCTTTTCGGCGGAGGACGAGGATGATGACGGAGAGGAGGGCGGAGACGAGGAGGACGAGGAGTGCGAGGAGGAGAGGCGCGTAGAGGAGAGCCCAGGTGCTGCCGGGCACGAGGTGGGAGCAGTAGGCTTGGATGTGCCGCCCCACGACAGGCTCGGGGAACGGCTCGGCGACGCTGTAGTTGAGGCTCGGGAAGGCGGGGTTGGGTGAGGTGAAGAGGTGGTTGGGGGGCTGCTGGGAGGAGTCGTTTGGGGCGTTGAGTGGCACCGGCTGGGCTGGCTCGGTGATGTCAAAGAGCTGGAGAGAGAAGATGTCGGAATCTGATGGGGGGGGGGGGGGGGAGTGGGGACGGGGGCAGGGAAACGGGGGCACGGAGTGGGGGCGTTGAGTGGCACTGGCTGGGCTGGCTCGGTGATGTCAAAAGAGCTGGAGAGAGAAGATGTCAGAGTCTGGTGGGGGTGGAGAAAAGGGGATAAGGGGGGCACGGAGGGGCGGGCACGGAAAGGGGGGCACGGAGTAAGTTGAGCAGTGGGACGGGCTGGGCTGGTTCGGTGATATCAAAGAGCTGGAGAGAGAAGATGTCAGAGTCTGGTGGGAGGTGGGGGGGGAAGGGTGAAGTGGAATAGAGAAGGCGGGAGAGAGGGGTGGTGGAGGGCGAGGAGGGGTGAGACAAGGAAGATGAGGAGCAAAGAGCTCGAGCCACGTGTCTGTCTTCATGTCGGTTCGGAGTCAAGTGAGTGAGGCATGCACCGTTGTGCAATGCCACGCACGCAGCACATCCATGCACACCGCTCTGCACCGCTCTGCTCTGCAGCTCAGCTCACCGCTGTGCAGCACATCCATTCACACCGCTCTGCACCGCCACTCAGTTCACCGTTGTGCAGCACGTCCAATGACACCCCTCTGCACCGCTCTGCACCACAGCTCACCGTTGTGGAGCACGTCCACGAGCGCATGGGAGACAAGCAGCCCCACGTCGAGGCCGCACCCGATGAACCCCGCCACACTCGCCCCGTGCCGCACGCACACACATGCACCGCTTGGCACCGCACTGTACCGCTCTGCATCACAACTCACCGTTGTGCAGCACGTCTACAAGGGCATGGGAGACGAGCAGCCCCACGTCCAGCCCGCACCCGATGAACCCCGCCACACTCGCCTCCACCTCCTCCCTGCCTGCCCCACCCTCTGCCGTGCCTCACACATATACCCACACATGCACCACAATGCACCGCTCTGTACCGCTCTGCATCACTCTGTACCGCTCTGTACCGCTCTGTACCGCTCCGCACCGCTCTGTAGTGTTCTGTACTGCTCTGTACCGCTCTGCACCGCAACCAACCGTTGTGCAGCACGTCCACGAGCGCGTGGGAGACGAGCAGCCCCACGTCCAGCCCGCACCCGATGAACCCCGCCACACTCGCCTCCACCTCCGCCCTGCCCACCCGCTGCCGTGCCGTGCGGCACACACAAGCACCGCTCTGTACCGCTCTGCACCGCAACTCACCATTGTGCAGCACATCAACCAGGGCATGAGACACTAGCAGCCCCACGTCCAGCCCGCACCCGATGAACCCCGCCACACTCGCCTCCACCTCCTCCCTGCCCGCCCCATCCTCCACCGGCCTTCGGAACATCGGAAACGCATACACTGATGGGGGCAAGGGGGCGGATGGATGGATGGAGCACCCGTGAGTGAGAAAATAGCTGCGCACGCGCGCCTCAAAAGTCCAGGCACGTTCTTTGAGTCGACTTCAAACTCGACACAAAACTCGACTCAAAACTCGACTCAAAACTCGACTCAAAACTTGACTCAAAACTCGACACAAAACTCGACCCAAAACTCGACACAAAAGTCCAGGCACGCGCGCAGTATCGGCCCCATATCAGCCCCCCATCTCATCCCCAACTCACGGAATCCGAGCCGCCCGTTTGGCCGTATCCACAAAGCTTATCTTATCCAGCTAGGAAACGATTGGATTTGACGTACAGAATCCGAGGCGCCCGTTGGGAGCAAGGACGGCGGGGGAGCTGACGGCGCGGCCTGTGGCGAGCATCTGCACCATCTGCGCGGGGAAGGCTGCGCCAAAGTCGAGGCACGCGCGCAGCCCGAATATGGACTTGAATTGGAAGAAGTTGATGCTGTACCAGGGCTTCTTGGGCGCGAGAGAGCCGTTGGGGGAACGGAACTCGCAGCCCAGCTGCTGCTCTACCCATGGCCTGGTGGAAGAGGGGAGGGGAAAGGAGGGAAGCGGCAGAAGTTGATGCTGTACCAGGGGCTGGGGGGGCCGAGAGAGCCGTTGGGGGAGCGGAACTGACAGCCCAGCTGCTGCTCCACCCATGGCCTGCAGGTAATGGGTATGGGGGGAAGAGGGGAGGGGAAAGGAGGGAAGGGTAAGAAGTTGATGCTGAACGTGCACGCACGCACGCATACACACACACACACACACACGCGCGCGCGCACGCACACACACACACGCGCGCGCACACGCACACACACACACATGCACGCACGCACACACACACACACACACACACACGCACGCACTCGCACGCACGCACGCACACACACACACACGCGCACGCACACACACTCACACACACACACACACACACACACACATACGTACGCACACACACACATACACGCACACGTAAACACACACGCACACACACACATGCACACACTCACACACACACACACGCACACACACACATACACATACGTACGCACACACACATACACACACACACACACACACACACACACACATACGTACGCACACACACATACACGCACACACACATACACGCACACGTAGACACACACGCAGACACACAAATGAACACACTCACATACACAAACACACACACACACACACACACACACACACACACACACACACATATATATATGCGGCACACACGCACACGTACAGACACACACGCACACACACACATGCACACACACACAGACACACAGAGGCGCACACACACACACACACACAAACACACACACACACACACACACACACACACACACACACTAATATTATGGCAAGCGCACACGCCAAGCCTAGCCGTGGGTTGACAAGTCACACACATACACACATGGCAAGCTGCGTTCTCAGAGCTGAATCGTCTCGTCCTAAGCCTCTCCTCCTGCCCATGCTACCTCACACCCACCCACCCACCCACCCACCCACCTACCCACCCACGTGTCTCGCACCTGTCTTTATCCGCGATAACGCCGCCCCACAGCGAAGTGACCCACGGCCTGGCGAAACCGGTAACCGCACGGTGCACCTCCCACGTGACCTTATCCACGCAGCCAGAATAGCCCCAGTACGACATGTTGCCTGGAGTCGCGCTGAACCCGTTGAATTGGTTGACCAGACCCGCCAAAATCTGATTGGTGTAATGGAAGGAGGAAAGGACAAAGGAACGGAATTTCTCAGTCTATCCCGGAGGCTCCGCTTTTAACTGCTGCATCTTTTGCCGGATTGAATGAGCTCCCTCTACTGTCACTATCACACCTGCTCGGCGGTTTTCGTTGCAGTCACACACACCCACCCACCTCCACTTGTTTCACATTCGAATCGAACTCCGCGTGCAGGTACCGAACGCGCTCCGCGCACCAGTTGGTGATCGCCGTCTGTCGCGGGGCCTCGGCCGCTCGCCGCGTGTACAGCCCTATCCACACGGCCAGTGCGACCCAACCGGCGACCCATGCGACGAGTGCGACCAGGCGACCGAATCGCCGTGCGGCACGCGACGCGCGACAACACGGCGGAATCATCTTTGCGGGTCTGATTCTATCGTCGGTCAGAACACGCTCAACAGGTTCGGGCTGGCGAAGAAATAGTTGGGCGCGGAAACTAGCCGCAGCCTCGTAACAGGAACCGACGACGTATAAATAGTAGGGCAGGGTGAGGAGCTGTGCGATGCCGTGCGATTAGGGTAACTGCCAGACAAACCAGTGGTGTGCGAAGTGGACGCCGATACTACTTATCCAGCGACAGTTTACTGGAACTCGAGGGGGACACGATGTGTCAAACAGTGCGAGCACACCAGATAAAACAGCGTAAATCGATTATACTTTCCCAGCAGTGCCGCGGCATGTTCGTCGGTCCCGCACTACCGCCGTCGTCGGGACCACAGCTTGCTTATAATACTACTAATAATCGTTGTACCGCCCTCCTCGTCGGGCCCGCTAATATTTGTACTACCTTAACTACTTTTAGGGATTCTCTTCGTCGGAAGAGTCTGCTACAAAGCGGCCTACACCCTACTAATACGAATTCCAAATAGCACAACGGCGTGTGCCACCCTTTCAGCTGCATCCATTCCCGTGACCCAATCTTTTCCTGAACTTGCGCGACAACACTCCGCCATGTTTGTATACATTCCTAAAATCCGCCGAGTCGAGGACTAGTAATAGTAGTTAATACGTACGGCGAGCACAACCTAACCAAGCTATCAGTAGTAACCGCATTCCGCCAACCGCGGCAGTCCGTTACTAGATCCGTTTCGCATTCGCAAGAAGCAATGAACGCAATGGTGAGGCAACGACGAGGAGTGGTATACGTCCGCGATCTTCAAGATGCAGAAACACCTGCATAAGGACGACACACCACACCTACCTCCTGAAAAACACATGAGCAAACCACACACACACACGAGGAAGCACGAATTAGGGTAACCAGTGCATGAAGACTTCCAAAAACAGAGACTTGTCGGGTCGGGGCTGATGATGGGTTCGCGTGGGCGGGAAGGATGAGTGGGTTTGTCATAACTCCTTCCAAGGGAAATGGCACTGTTCGTGCAAACAGCGTGCGGGTGAAACAGGAAGGAAGGACGTCTTGTGGAAGGCTGATGTTGATGATGATTCCAGTTGGGAGAGCTCTCATTGCAATTGGACTTGACAACAACACTGCACACTAATCTCTGTTTCAGGCGGTCAGGGTAGTCCTGCCGGGGGTTTTATTCGCAAAATTAACTCACATCCGGGGGCTCTTCGCGGATGATTAAACATAGCCGGGATTCTTCGCGGTTCAACCCCCCATTGCCTAATGTTTCTCGAGATTCCAGTTGCTGTGGCTGATGTTCGCTTCGGGTCATTATGAGGCTGATTGTTGGCTCTTTCACCGTCTTACATCCCACACCAACTTCTCAACTTGAGTCCTGGCGTTGGCGAGCGCATACATTTGGGCTGTTAGGTCCTATGCCTATATCACTAAAAACGATTCGGGCAGAACAATGGGTTTTCCTATAAATGGTTCGATGTCTCCTGCAAGTCGAAGATGAAGGCGAGAAGGACGAGTCGAGGAGGACCCTCTCCGACTCTGAGCTGGCCCTGCTTGGCCAACACACCCAATGGACTTCACCTTACAGGGCCGAAGGGACGAGTTCGCGCCACACAACAGAGGTTGTCGCCACCTGCCAGTTCTGCCACACCCGTATCGAATCTAAAGCACCACTTTGCACCGTCACGGGTGTACCTACAATGCCTTTTGAAACCCGTCCCATGCCTTTTAAAGCCGCGGTGCAGATATCTCTGCGCCAGTTCAAAGTATTATAGCTTGAAGGGCGCGTTACCCAGTATACACTGGAAGTCGAGCAGGCAGAGCATTCTGAGAGCGGGGTAAGGTCGTGCGGAAAAGTGCCTCGCTGCATGATGAGTGGGGGGGAAGCTGGGGAGGGCTTGCGGAAAAGCACCGCACAACAGCATGAAGGGGGGGGGGCCACGCATCTCTCGCGCTAGGCTAGGTTACTACTAACTTGAAGTGCCTTCCCGTAGGGCTACTGAGAGCCATTCTCCTCATATCTATCTCTCTTCTTCGCCTTTTAGTGTGCGCTCGAATATCTGCGCTATTTCGTACCTCAAAAAACACCACGGCAGTCGTACCCGTTGCGCATTGCGCTAGATTTCCTCCGCTGTCGTCGTTCAGTTTTCCCTCTCCCGTCCCTCTATTTCTCACGAATCGGCGGTGGCAAGCAGCGACGATGGCGACAGGCAGGATTGGGTGCGACGGTAGCCAGCAGCGGGGCGACGATAGCGAGCAGAGCGGCGACGGTAGCGAGCAGGGTTGCGATGGCAGCGAGCAGGGTTGCGACGGCAGCGAGCAGGGTTGCGATGGTAGCGAACAGCATGGCGACAGCAGCGCAATGACGATAGTGAGCAGCGATAACGACAGTAGCGAGCAGCGGGGCGACGTTAGCGTGCAGCAGGGTGTCGTTAGCGAGCAGCGGGGCGAAGCATCTGTTCCGACGGTGGCGAAGCATCTGTTCCGACGGTGGCGAAGCATCTCGCGTCCAAACCTCGCAAGCGGCTTTAGCGAGCGATATTGGTAGCGATGCGGCGAAGGCAAGGGTAGCGAGCAGACAGGGCCGGAATGGGAGAGGAGGACAGGGGGAAAGGGTGGGAAGAGCAGCGATCGATGCTATAGGCCCCTGTCCTTCTTTCCCTTTCCCCCACTCCTTCTATCCCTTCCCCCCTGTCCTTCCCTCCTTTCCTCCATGTCCTTCCCACCCTTTCCCCCTGTCATTCTCTCCCTTTCCCCTTAGTCCTTCCCTCCCTTTCATCGTTTTCGTTCCTCCTGATGCTTAATCCTCCCCCCTGTTCTTTCTGCCCTGTCCCCCTATCCTTCCCTCCCCTTCTTCTCCCTCCCTCCTTTCCCCTCTCCCAACCCACTGCTCCCCCCTGCTCTCATCCGTCCCCTTGCCCCCATTCGTCCCTTTTCCCCCACTACCGTCGCTGCTTTTCCTGCTCATTTCCCCCTTTCCTGAACCCTTCCTTTTCCTCTCTCACATCCCTTCCCGTTCCCACTATCCCATCCCACCATTCACCCTTCTGATGGCCATCCCTTTCCCTCCTCTCCTGTCCCTCCCCTGTCCTATCCCATTCCCCCTGTCGCTTTCTCCTTCCCCCTGTCCTATCCCATTCCTGTCCTAGTTCAAGCGTGAGAGATTGTTTGTTCCAGGGCATTCCCCCCTGCCACCATCCCCCATGGCACATCCTCCTATGCCACACCTTCGGTTTCACGCCTCCCCATTCCCGAACTCCCCTTGTCCGTCGATACCTTAGCCTCTTGCCCTTCCCAGGAGGCAGGATTGGGCGCGACGGTAGCAAGCGGCTCGCTCCCACCGTCTCTCCACCACCAATCCTCCTCTCCCCCACTCCCGCCGTCCCTCCTTTCCCCCGTTACCGTTCAAACCTTCCCCCCGTCCCCGTCCCTCCTTCCATCGGTGTCCGTCCCTCCTTCCCCCACCATCCACCCTTTACCCTACCCTTGTCCTTTCAAGGCATCCCCCGATTCCTAAACCCTTCCTTTCCCTTTCTCCCATCCCTTCCCTTTCCCCCTATCCCATCCCACCATTCACCCCTCTCCCGGCCATCCCTTCACCCACCCTACTACTTCCCTTCACCCACCCCACCACTTTGAACCTTCGCGCACCCCACTGTTTCTGCCAACCCTCCATTCAATTTCCCCATCGAACATTTTTCACTTCTACGGCTGGTGTCCTTCCCTACCCCCCTCCCCCCCTGCTATCGGTGGACAGCTGCATCAATAATGGAGCAGAGGGGTGTGAAGTTTAGCTCATCTTGGAGATGCCATGTTGGATTTAAAGACACTCATGTTTGCCTGCCATGTGTACATTCGTTGCACCCCAAAAAAAAAGAAATGAAACAACCACCCCAAACTTTGATATTTCTGAAATCCTAGAATGTGCCTTTGAGTCGCAGAATATTATATTTGTGTAGTACTCAGCTTATTTGAAATACAAACTCTTTCGTTATGCAATGTAGAGATGACGGCGTATTCATGGGTTCCGATTTTCGCGTTGTCGTGTGTGTTTCCCCCTTCCCTCCCCCCACCCCTTCCCCTTCCCCCTCACTTTCGAGGTTCGCGACGTTCGCCTCAGTTGTTTCCTTTTTCTCTTCATCGCAAGATTATCTACTCTCTCGCTAGCCAATTGGCGACCAGGAAGGAACAAGACAAAAAACTGTTTGTCACTGTTCCTAAGATATCTGCACCGCGGCTTTAACCGTTGTCTCACGCTGCGAAACAGTAGCACCATCGTACGCTGGGTTTGACTGACAGGAGCACAGAAGGGCGAAAGGTCGAGCTGTTCACCTCATGGATGCAACAACGGTCATTCTTTCTCTCACCCGATGCGTTGGGGACAACTGCGAGAGCAAGTGCGGGTGTGAAGCGAACATCAGGGAGTGGAGGCGAAAGGTGTTGCGAGGTGATTTGCGCTGAGGACTAAACTCACATTCTATCTAGGTGCATCGAAATTACACTCGAGAAACCTAGAAATATCATCCATCGAGACCGCATTACAGTGATTCACTTCCAATGGTGTTGCTCGTCGTGTAGCGAGGTAACACAGTGGCTGGTTTGTGGTGGTGGTTCGGTGAATTCATTATTCGCAGACAATAACGACAAGGCCGTCGTCCTCGCGACTGTTCTTCAAACCAGGGCATCTCAGGAATTTCAGAGCCCCAACTAACTAGAGTAAGTTACCCCCTCAGGCTAGCCTCTAAATCAAATTGCGAAAGAAAAAGCAGGGTCAGTATTCCACCAAAAGTGCTCTAGCAGTTCTGGTCTTTCAAAAATCTCACCCAAACATTCTGAGGCAACAATTCAAGCATGTTTGTTGTGGAACACTTGTAATTCAAACGAATCTTACGAAGACAATCTCGGCAAGCCGAGGGACAGAATCAAATGCCGCCCTGAAAATCAGGCGGTGACTAATTTGCGAGACAGCTGTAAACAAAATTTACCTGGGCTGTCCACCAACCACATCAGGCTTTGAGCAATTCAATTGTAAGCACAAGGCGAAATTGTTACACGTCACAATATTTTTACAGTGTTGACACACAACAAGCACCTTCAGTGTTGGTTTACACGTTACAATATGTACACAACCACACTACCTGGCATTGAACCTCTTAGAGCCGCGGTGCAACATTATAAGGAGAAGTAGCGGGAAAAAAATGGCAGGTGAGTAAAGGGACTCCTACGGGAGAAAACAAAATCAAAAGGATAAAAACAGGACAATCCTCTTGCCAATAAACTTCCTGCGTGGGTCAGCCTTATTCAAAGTTAGGGCGTGTTCCTACAGCCTCTTATCATACACACCTGTTGTCAGCTATGCGTGGTTTAATAAGTTTCAGTGCGATTGGATGTGATTACATGCGTTACAGAGCGGCGTTTGCGTGTGAGAAGGTGAGTCCGCTTCTCCTCACTGTGGACGAAGTTCAGGTCTGACAATACGTTTCCCTGATAAGAGGCCATAGGAACACGCCCTTATAAACATTTGAAGTGCAGCTGATACTTTTGCGCAAAACATGTATAGGACATCTATGCAGCTACTATAATGCAATGTATAAGGGACGTATTAAACCATGTTGCTGCTGCTGCTGTGTTGTTGTTGCTGTTGTTGCTATTGCTGCTGTTGCTGCTGTTGTTGCTGTTGTTGCTGTTGTTGTTGTTGTTGCTGGTGTTGCTGTTGTTGCTGTTGCTGTCGCTGTCGCTGTTGTTGTCGTTGTAGTTGTCGTTGTTGTCTAACTTTATATTCAAAAACTTCCCCTTCTCGTCTCTATCCATCAAGCAGCTCTTCCACCATTTTTGTCGAAAGACTAGGCAAGAATCAGAAACAGAAAAGGGAGGGGTTTCACTAGCAGGCAGTTGAGTACATATAGCAAACCCTAATTTGGGCTGTACTCGCTATAGAGTACCCCACTGCAGGCTAGACAAACATCACAATTTGACACACCCCCATAGTCAAAGTGGGGTACAATCAACACAAGAAGCAGGCAGAGCAATAGTTCACAAGGATAAGCAAAGCTAGAGGCTATCACAGAGGGCAAGTGACGAGGAGGAGAAAATGTGGGGGGCGAGAAGATGGGAGGCGACGGCTGAAGCTGCAGACACACGGGCAACAGGAGTGCGCAGCACTGACGCTACCAGGCGCAGAGCCCCGGACTACACGCCGACAGGCGCAGCTGGCTCTCTGTGCTCCCAAGAGTGCTCACACTGTGGCTACCGGGCGCAGAGCCCCGGACTACACGGCCACAGGGGGTCGTGGCTCTCTGGACTACCAGGAGTGCTCACACTGTGGCTACCGGGCGCAGAGCCCCGGACTACACGGCCACAAGGGGTCGTGGCTCTCTGGACTTCAGGCGCTGCGGACGACAAGTCGGCTACCTCCGGTCAACCTCCCCCAACTGTCCCACACCCCTTTCACACACTCCCTGCTGTACCCCTAGCACTGCTCACACGCCACCCCCCTCGTATCACTCCGACGGCTCCAACACATCCACCCCCCTCAGCAGCAGCTGCAGCAGTGGGAGACGGAGGAGGAGGAGGAGCAGGGGACGGCGCACACACCTGTCACCCCCAAACTCGCCACCCCCACACTCGCCATCCCCAAACCCTAACACAGGCAGCAGCGGGGGGCGGTGCGCGGGCAGCAGCTGGGGGGACGGCGCGCGGCTCGGGCAGCAGCTGGACGGGCCGCGCACGGGCCTGGCGCGGGCCGTACGAACCGCGCGCGGGCTGTACGGGCCGCGCGCGGGCCTGGCGCAGACCGTACGAGCCGCGCGCAGGCCTGGCGCAGGCCGTACGGGCCGCGCGCGGGCTTGGCGCAGCCCGTACGGGCCGCGCGCGGGCTGTACGGGCCGCGCGCGGGCCTGGCGCAGGTCGCGCGAGCCGCGTGGGGCGACGGGGGGCGACGCGCGGGTCTCCAGGGGCGCGGCAACTGTCAGAATGTAATGTTTGTCTAGCCTGCAGTGGGGTACCCTATAGCGAGTACAGCCCGAATTAGGGTTTTCTATATGTATTCAACTGCCTGCTAGTGAAAACCTCTTTCCTGTTTCTCGTTTTCGCCTGCTGTTTTGACATGGTATCAGAGCAGGTCGACCCTCCTGGGTCGATCCTGTGGGTGGGCCCCACCCGATGCATGTCGAAAGACTAGGCAAGAATCAGAAGCAGAAAAGGGAGGGGTTTCACTAGCAGAAAAGGGAGGAGTACATATAGCAAACCCTAATTTGGGCTGTACTCGCTATAGAGTACCCCACTGCAGGCTAGACAAACATCACATTCTGACAATTTTTGCAGCACTCGCACAACCCCTCCATTTGCAAGAAATCGGCCGTTTCTAATGAGAACTTCCTATTCGTTTTTATTGTAGCAGCTGCCTGTTACAAATGATACCATACTTGCAATGTAGGAACAATGACCACCGTATGACCAAGGCCGAAATAATAAGTTTTGGTCAATCCTTACAACTACCCCACACACTCAACTCTGCCACGAGGAATGAACCGCAAGCAATCGTCTCCATCACAATCCCTAGGCTAGGCACGCTTCTTTTGCAACCATTCATTCAGAGCTGCCCGGGGAACAACCAATCTCCCAGGGTTCCTCTTTGGCACAAGCAACCCGCCACCGCTCCCTTCCGTCTCATCTTCAGACGAACTGGATTGGCTCGATTGACTTGACAAATAACTACCACCACCGGCAGCACTGGTAGCTGCACTCTTGTAAACAGGCGATGGGGAGATGACCGGAAGCCCGAGCTCGTTCTGTAACATGTGTGTTACCGCCTCTCGCACCACTGAGTGGCCTGGCGTTGAGCTGCGCCGGCCAGTGCCTGTGATTATAACGAGGTCGTCTTGTATTGGGGTACCTGAAGGGCATGAATAAGGGGTACGTACAAGGGGTTAATACCGGTAACATGGCATGCTCACTCACCCCCTGACACTGGGAGGTCAACTAGAGGAGGCGAGGCAAGTCCCATGGGAGCACCATTGAGGCATCATGACCTCCATGTGGCAACTCTATTTGGTATATATTATATGCATAATATGTACGTATATATTTAGGTACATATGTATATGTACATACATATATAACGGTGCTTGTGCTCACCTCCTGAGCGCTGGAAGGTCTCCTTCAGCAGGCGAAGCACAGACAGCACTGCCAGTGTGTGCTGTGCTGTGCTGTGCTGTGCAGTGCGGTGCTGTGCGGTGCATGATGAATAGCACAATGCGAAGTGCCCACTCACTCACCTCCTGAGTGCTGGAAGGTCTCCTTGAGGAGGCGAAGCACAGAGAGCACTGCCAGTGTGTGCTGTGCTGTGCAGTGCGGTGCTGTGCGGTACATGGATGGATAGCACAGTGCGCTGTGCTTACTCACCTCCTGAGTGCTGGAGGGTCTCCTTGAGGAGGCGAAGCACAGAGAGCACTGCCAGTGTGTGCTGAGCTGTGCAGTGTGTGCTGAGATGTGCAGTGCGGTGCTCTGCAGTGCGGTACTGTGCAGTGCGGTGCATGGATGGGTAGCACAGTGCGCTGTGCTCACTCACCCCCTGAGCGCTGGAAAGACTCCTTGAGCAGGCGCAGCACAGAGAGCACTGCTGTCCGTGCCTCTGCCTGGTAAGGGGTAAGCGTTGGGGAAGGGGATGGAGAGCGGTGAGGTGGGATGGAGAGCAGTGAGGAGGGATGGAGGGGAGTGAGGAAAGATGGGAGGCAGTGAGGAGGGATAACCAAAGGGGCACAGGGTGGTGGGGGACGATGAGGTGGGTGAATGCATCAGCGGGGTAAGGCACGGTGCACAAAACCAAAACAATTGCTCAGCATAGCGTTTCTGAGACCCTTAAGAATCATTTAGCAGCATTTAGCATACCCAAGCGAGACGCCATGGAGATGAATGCCGCTCGAGATGATTTTCGAATCGACTCAGAAATCGCCTCCAATGAAGCTTGGTCAATGAGGTTGGAGCAAACAGGATGAATACACCAACCAATCCACACACACACACAAACAAACAGAGACAGAAACGGTAACAAGAATGGTACAATAATATAAGAATAAACATACCCGAGAAAGGCCATGGAGATCAAGCTTGGTCAAACCTTCAACCATCCTCCCCTCCTCCTCTCCTCCCTCCGCTCCTCTTCCTCCCTCCCCTCCTCCTCCTACTCTTCCATCTGACCCACTCCCAACATCAGGACCATCATCATCACACTTCTCGTCATCTCTAGTTGCTGCTCCCCCTGCCATGCCTGCTGCTGTTCTCCCTGAACGACCCTGGCCATCCCTTGCCAGACTACTTAGATGAGAAGACGAGGGGGCAGTCGAGGCTAAGGAAGCTGAGGAAGCCGAGGAGGGGAAGGTGGAGAGAGGAGGGTCCAATGCGCCTTCAGCCATCTCCCCGAGTAGGCTCTTGAGTACATAGTCGTTGGGGGAGTAGCTGGGGGGGAATGGGGGCGGGGAAGAAGGGGGGGCGGGGAAGAAGGGGGGAGTGGGGATGGAGAAAGTCAGAGTGATGGGGTGGAGAGGTGAGAGTTGAGAGTGCCTTCAGCCATCTCCCCCGGAAGGCTCTTGAGCACATAGCCGTTGGGGGAATAGCTGGGGGTTGTTGGAACGGGGGAGAAGGTCGAAAGAGGAAGGGGGAAGGGGGGGGAAGTAAGAGAAATGAGGTGGAGAGAGGAGGGTCCAGAGCGACTTTAGCCATCTCCCCGAGTAGACTCTTGAGTACATAGTCGTTGGGGGAGTAGCTGGAGGGAATGGGGGCGGGAGATACGAGGGAATGGGGGAATAACTAAGACTTCAGCCATCTCCCCGAGTAGACTCTTGAGCACATAGTCGTTGGGGGAGTAGTTGGGGCAGTGGAGGGGGAAGAGGGGGAGCGTGGGGACAAGGGGAGTGCAGGGAGAGTTAGGATTTAAAAAGGGCAGGGAAAGGAGAGTCGGAAATTCGTGCAAGGGGGAGGAAATTCGTACATGGGGTTGACCTGCATTCGGTGGCCCATACCCCCATGGCCCATACCCCCATGGCCCATACCCCCATGGCCCATACCCCCATGGCCCATACCCCCATGGCCCATACCCCATGGCCCATACCACATGGCCCATACCCCCATGGCCCATACCCCAGGGCCCATACCACATGGCCCATACCCCCATGGCCCATACCCCAGGGCCCATACCCCATGGCCCATACCCCATGGCCCATACCCCATGGCCCATACCCCATGCCCCATACCCCATGCCCCATACCCCATGGCCCATACCCCATGCCCCATACCCCATGCCCCATACCCCATGGCCCATACCCCATGCCCCATACCCCATGCCCCATACCCCATGCCCCATACCCCATGCCCCATACCCCATGCCCCATATCTCATGTCATGTCCCATGCCCCATGCCCCATGTTCCATGCCCCATGCCCCATGCCACATGCCCCATCCCCCATGCCCCATGCCCCATGCCCCATGCCCATACCTCCCCCCCCCCCCACACACACACTGCCCTCCCACTCACCCCGCCTGCCGCATCTCCTCATACACCAGCAGCAGCCGCTGAATGCGTCTCTGATTGGCTGCTGCTGATGCGCCAATGGCAGTCAGGCGCGGAATTCGGGAGGAGGAAGTGAGAGGTGAGGGGGGGAATTGGGAGGAGGGAGACGGGGAAGAGGGGGGAAGGGAGGAGGAGGAGGAGGAGGAGGAGGAGGAGGAGGAGGAGGAGGAGGAGGAGGAGGAGGAGGAGGAGGAGGAGGGTGGGAGAGTGTCGGCTTGCAAGGGAAGGCGAAGGAGAGTGTTGAATGTGACCTGTTAAGGGAAGGAAGAAGGGGGTGAAGAAAAAGGGGCAAAGACAAATGCAGGAACGAAAAAGGGGTGGAAAGAAAAGTGGGGAAAGAAAATTGGGGAAAGAAAAGTGGGGAAAGAAAAATGGGTTGAAAGAAAAATAGGAGGAAGACGAGGAGGGCAGGTGAGATGAGGAGAGCAAAAGAAAAGGGTGAACTCACAACCTCATCACGGGCCAACATACTAGGCCTTCATTTCGATATTGGCTGACAATCACTGCTGCATCGACGACTCTCGATACTCATCTTTCGCTCTCCACCTCGGCTGAATGCTGCTTTTCTCACCAGGTTGGGCCTGACTCCCTCCGCCTTCATTCGAACATACAAGCCAAACGCACCGTCCCAGTCCCCAGCCCCCCAAATGCAGACGACTTTTGAGGCGCCTAAACAATGCCTTGAATGATTCCCATTGGGGCTCAGCGCTCCTTACCAGGTTGGGCCTGACTCCCTCAGCCTTCATTCTGTCATAGAAGCCAAACGCACGGTCCCAGTCTCCTCCGCGAATGCACGCCTGCAAGGAGTGAAGATACGTGTTAGGTGACTTGGACACACAAGTCTGGACTGGAGATATCTCCGAAACAGATAATCGACTGCGAAGTCGGGTAACCTCGCTTGTGAGTCGGCTCATTAAGAACTGATTCAAATGTTGAGAGCTGAATGCAACTTGATAACTTGTGGGAAATATTATCAACTCAGACCTGACCTCAAGTTAACTTGTTGTATGCCACCACCAGGTCAGGTGCGCTGCGCACCATGTTCCCCCAAAAAGGTAAAAGTCAAATGAGTTGAGTTGAGCGCACCTTGATGACAGGAGTGTATGCCACCATATCCAGCTCACGTGATAAAAGTGAAGTTTTGAGACGTCTCAAAACCGCACCTTGATGACAGGAGTGTATGCCACCAAATCCAGCACAAAACGACTAAAGTAATAAACTCAATGCCACCACATGAGCAGTGTATGCCCAAGTGAACACAAATCATAAGCTCAGCGTACCTTGATTACCGCAGTGTATGCAACAACATGTGCCTTGAACCCCGCTGCTTGCATGTCTTGAAACGCCTGATGGATACGTGGCGGAGGGAAGGGCAGAGAGGACATGAGGGGCGGAAGGGAGTTCTCTTTTCAGCTTCAGCTTCAGATAGCAGTTTCAACAGTGTACACAGGCACACCAGACACCTGACCCCTGACCCCTGACCCCTGACCCAATGACCTACACACGCCCACACACATACCTAGACAGCAGCATTGACCCTCTTCCACCCCCCCTGTACCCACACCCACCTGCACAGCAGCGGCAGTATCTGCATTGGTCCCATGGCAATCCAGCAGTGCCACCCACGTGCGCTCGTTGGGTGCTATTCTCGCCCGTTTGGCCCCTTTGACGCACGCACACACACGCACACACATGCACACACATGCACACACTCACCTAGTCAGCAGCATTAGCTCTCTTCCAACCCCCCAATAACCACACCCACCTGCACAGCAGAGGTGGAATCGGCATTGGTGCCGTGGCAATCCAACAGTGCCACCCACGTGCGCTCGTTCGGCGCTATCCCCGCTGCTCTCATCTCCCCCACAAACGCCCGTGCGCGCTGGGGACTGCCTGTGCACGCCTTGATGACTGTGTTGAATGTGATTATATCGGGGGCGCATGAAGAGGAGGGGGGAGAGGAGGGGGCGGAGGAGGCGGAGGAGGTGGAGGAGGAGGAGGTGGAGGAGGCGGAGGAGGAGAAGGGAGGAGACGATGCCACAGCAACTGAAACCCCTTGCTGCACTCCACCCTCCTCATCCCCCCTCTCCTCCCCCACCCTCATCCCCCCCTTCCTCCCCCCAGCCTGCATCTCCCGAAGCAACCCCACCGCCCGATCCTCCAGCCCAGCTTCGGCGCACATGTCAATCATCAGGTTATACACAGCAGTCGTCGCCTCACATCCCGAACCTACCATCTCGTCAAACACTCTAAACGCGTGGTCCACAAACCCCGCGTGCGCGCACGCACCAATCAGAGACGTCCAAGTCACCACGTTGGCGCGCACGCGTGATTGGTCCATGTCGGATTTCACGGCGAACGCGGCTTGGAAGCGGCCGGATTGGGCAAGGATCTGAATGACTGTGCTGTACGTGTATACGTCTAGGTACCTGGAGCGACTGATTCTGCTGCTGCTGGCGCTGCTGCTGCTGCTGCTGCTGCTGCTGCTGCTGCTGCTGCTGCTGCTGCTGCTGCTGTCATTGTCGCTATCGCTGCTGCTGCTGTGTTTGGAGCTGCTGTTCTCATTACTGTGGTGCCCAATGCTACTGCGGTTGGAACTAGACGTGTTGTGATCTCCCATGCTGTTCATTTCGGCCCTTTCTTCTCTCGCCTCCAGCGCCCGCAGCTGCTCGTACAGCAGCTGGGCGGCATCCGGGCGGCAGTGGGCGGCGCAGGCCTTGAGCAGCGTGTTGAAGGTGGTGGCGTCGGGAGATACCCCCAGGCGCTGCTTGGGAGAAATGGACGAGCGGGATGGGCAATGGGGAAGGATGCGGGAAGAATGGAATGAAGGTAGGAATGTCATTGCCAGCTCACTGCCAGCTCACTGCCAGCTCACTGCCAGCTCATTGCCAGCTGAGTGCCGGCTCACTGCACAATGCGAGCTCATTGGTTCTTCATAGTGTATTGATGTAAGCGTGATTTTGCTCTCTCAACACATGGGAAAGCCACCGGGATTAAGGTCACACATAGAACGTACCACTGCCAGGTCATCACTGCCAGCTCAGCACTGCCAGCTCACCTCCATGCGGAACCAGAGCGACCAGGTGGCATCCCAGTCACTGATGCATGCGTTGAGAGCACTGTTGACCACGTAGGTGTTGGGTACCACCCCGTCCTCCTCCACCATTGCCTGATGCAAAGGGGGAAGGGGGAGCAAGGGGAACAAGAGAGAAATAGAGGCAGTACAAGCGTTGAGTGCACTGTTGACCACGTATGTGTTGGGTACCAACCCGTCCTCCTCCACCATAGCCTGGAAGGGAGCAACGGGAGTGAGGAGGAGCAAGGGGAACAACAGAGAGCACCTTTATCAGGGAGCGGTGTGCGACGAGCTCCCTCCCTGGTGGTGGCCTGCCATCAGAGAAGAGAACATGTCAGAGCAAGTGTGAGAAGAGAACATGATCTATAGTTTGTTTTTCCTAGTCGGCACTAGAGCTTGCAGCTATTTACCCGCTCTTAACTTGATGAGCTCCCTGATGGTCGCCTTCCATCAGAGAAGAGAACATGTCAGAGCAAGTGTGGGAGCACCAGCGAGCAACCAGCAATCACCTGGATGATTCACCTGAATGACTCACCTGGATGATTCACCTGAATGACTCACCTGGATGATTCACCTGAATGACTCACCTGGATGATTCACCTGAATGACTCACCTGGATGATTCACCTGAATGACTCACCTGGATGATTCACCTGAATGACTCACCTGGATGATTCACCTGAATGACTCACCTGGATGATTCACCTGAATGACTCACCTGGATGATTCACCTGAATGACTCACCTGGATGATTCACCTGAATGACTCACCTGGATGATTCACCTGAATGACTCACCTGGATGATTCACCTGAATGATTCACCTGGATGATTCACCTGGATGATTCACCTGGATGATTCACCTGAATGATTCACCTGAATGATTCACCTGGATAATTTCAGCAGCAGTACTGCCTGCACCGCATGCTGCACACACGTCCATCACGGAGCGGTACGTGAACATGTCAGGTGCCACGCCAGGTGCTATTTCGGGTAGCACGCCCCACTCAGGCAGAACCTCAGGTGAAAAGTCAGGTGGCAACAAATCTCTACCAGCGGACTCCCTCGTGCCACTGCTGCTGCTTCTGTTACTGCTGCTATCACCACCCCCACTTCCTCCTGCTCTGCACCCCCTTCTGAGTGCGTGGAAGAGAGTCAGGGCTAGTTGTAGCTTTCCCTGCCTGGCACACTCCTTGATGGCCTTGTTGTAATCCACTGAACTTGCAGAAGGCAGGTGAAGGATGAAGCTGCGAACAGGAGAGGAAGGGGAAAGGAAGTGTGGGTGTGTGAAAGAGAGAGAAAGAGAGTCAGGGCTGGTTGCATTGCAGCTTTCCCTGCCTGGCACACTCCTTGAGGGCCTTGTTGTAATCCACTGCGCTTGCAGAAGGCAGGTGAAGGATGAAGCTGCGAGGGGGAAGGGAAGAGGGGGTGTGTGAAAGACAGAGAGTTAAAGCTGACTGCAGCCCCTGCCCTGCCTGGCGCACTCCTTGAGGGCCTTGTTGTAATCCACTGCGCTTGCAGAAGGCAGGTGGGGCGATGAAGCTGCAAGCACAGGAAAGGGGTAAAAGAAGCGAGGGCTAGAAAGTCAATGCTAGTTCCAACCTGCCCTGCCTGGCACACTCCTTGAGGGCCTCCTTCCTTGTAGTAGTCCACTGCGCACGCACTCAGTATATGGGTGATAAAGCTGGTTGACTTTTGAGTCAACTCAAAAGTCAACCCTGCCTGGCACACTCCTTGAGGGTCTCCTTGTAGAAGTCCACTCCACTGCGCACGCACTCGGTGGATGGGTGATAAAGCTGGGAACAGGCGAGGCAGCAACAAGGGAAGGTGGAGGGTGGGAGAGGGCCCGGAGGGTGGGAGAGGGCCCGGAGGGTGGGAGAGGGCCCGGAGGGTGGGAGAGGGCCCGGAGGGGGGATGTGAGGGATAGCAAGGGAACGAGTGCATAAACCCTGAACCCTGGATGGCGAAACACCAAGCCCACAGGCGGAAAGCCCCATAATTCCTTTCCCCCAAACTGCAAACCATCAACCTCACAAAATCCCTCTAACCCTATACCCTGAACCCTCGCCAGTGAACAATGCTAGCTCACCGCATGACAAGGGGCAGATGCATGCTTGGTACACCTGGTCGCTCACTGCCAGCTTCCTTGACTGAGGCGGCTCTAAGCCTGCAAACCCCATACCCAGAACCCTGGTCAGTGAACAATGCTAACTCACCGCATTACGAGGGGCAGGTTGGAGGCAGCAATGCATGCTTGGTAGAGCTGATCGCTCACTGCCAGCTTCCTTGACTGAGGCGGCTTTAAGCCCTGAACCCTAGACCCTGAATCCTGGACGGTGAACAAAGGTAATGTAACTCACCGCATGACGAGGGGCAAGTTAGAGGCAGCAATGCATGCTTGGTAGAGCTGATCGCTCACTGCCAGCTTCCTTGGCGATAGCCCCAGACCTGGAGAGCACAGACGGGCAGGATGGGGCGGCGTCGACACACAGGCAAGGTGGGGTTTTGGCACGCACAGGGAGAGGGTTTGCATTGAAGGCGTCTCGACAGGCGATGCATGCACGCTTGGTACACCTCGTCGCTCACTGCCAGCTTCCTTGGCGATAGCCCCAAGCCTGGAGGGGATATGAGAGAGAAACCAACGACTGGAGCATGAAGAAGCACACAGACTGCCCTTGACATTTGAGGCAACTCAAAAGTAGGAGCGGAGAGGATCACCTGAGTATTTTGGAGAAACCAAGGCCTGGAGGGTGAAGGAGCGGAGAGATGAAGAGCAGGACAGGAGGGACACAGGAGATAGATGGTAATGGGGTTACCTGCGAGGGTGCAGAGCAGATCAACAGCCACGCGTCCTAGATAATAATTCAGAAATCTCAAAGTCCCGCAGATGGGCTACCTACCTGCGAGGGTGCAGAGCAGATCAACGGCCTCGTCCACCCGCTTTCGTCTCAGAGCGTGCAGCACTGCCAGTCGCACGTCCCGCCGCGCTGCCACGCTCCCCACCACCTCCTCCCACCTCACCGCTCGGCCCATGAACCCCCCGCTTTCCCCATCTGCTGAGTTTTTTCTAAGCGGGTCTTCAGACTGGTGATGTGCTAGTGCGAGGAGCAGCGAATTCGCCGTTTTAAGCTGACTCGTTTGAATCAGTTTCCTGAGGCATTGAGACAGGACGTTCAACGCTGCTGCGCGGGGAGATGAGGCCGGCTGGCCGTGGGATGACGTGGCAGGCTCGCTCAGTGATGACGTGGCAGGATCACTGAGTGATGACGTGGCACTATCATCCGCCACGCGCTCGCATTCTCTCACGACGAAGTCCACGCATTGGTTCACCGGCTTCGTCCGGAGCAACTTTAAAGACGCCTCTAGAATCTCGTCTTTCCATTCGTTGCTTGGATCCCTAACGCTTCTCCCGGAGTTTCCAGGAATCCCCCTTGCAGCTTCAGCCACGCCCTTGGATGCTACAGAGACGCTTCTAGAAGCTCCAGCGGCCGGCGTAGCAGCTGCGGAAACGATTTTTCTTCCTGCAGCGGCTACTACTGCTACAGCCGTAGCAGCAGCGGAAACCCTTCTGATTGGTTGACGTGAGCTGGCATAACCAGCGGCGGACGTATTCGATAGTTTGACTGCGACTCGCCGCTTAGCCGCTCGTTGCCACTTGTTGAATGCACCTCCTGTCGCTGCCGTTCTGGAAGCGCCAGCTGCGGCGGGAGAGACGTTAGAGAATCTAATGTTTGCGCTACGGCCATGAGGTTGAGGGTGATAATAGAATGGAGGGGGCCGTTCGAGAGGTACCGTTGACGGAAATGTTGACGGCAAGCACAGGAAAGCGGGAGCCGAGGCCGGTCTCAGAGAAAAAAGGCAATGCTCCATTCCCTAAGAAGCTGAGGGACTGGTCCCTTTTGCTGAGGAAAACTATGCTTGGACCACTTGTGACTCTTTCCTTGGTACTGTAAGCGATGGCTGAGTTCAGCGGTTGTTTGTGAATGTGAATGGGTGCGCGGCTTCATCCGCCGCACACGCGGTTCCCCGGTAACAACAGCTTCCCTAATCGTACAGACGCAAGCTGACGTGAATGACCGAAAAGTGACTGTTTCGCATTTCCTTACTCTCAGGGAATAACCAGGAAACGCATGCGTACTCAAGATTGACTAATTTCTGTGATACATAAGTTGATAAATATACATAAAGAAATCATAACGGGCACCATTTTTCGCATATATTTGTGAAGCTAATGTTGATAAATCCCGTGCACATAACCCAGCGGCATAGGGAAGATCTATCCAGATTTAATATCTTTAAGAGCGCAACTTGTAAAGCGTATTAGCTCATACCACTCTCCCAGAACAATACGACAAGGTGATCCACCCACATTATCTTCCCTGGGTTTGTCGGAACTCCCAAGAATTGCAACAGCAGAACGTAACGCCCGCTAGTGCCACCACTAGTGCTGGATGCCTTCGGTTGGAGAACGGATTCGCCATTCCCTTCGTCTGCCCCTTCAGATTCCCTCCAGTCTGTCAGACTGGTTTCAAGGTTGGCGACGCGAACGTTTTCCGGGCAGGGATGGAAGGGAAACCGTGAAATAGAGTTCGGTGGGTATGACGAAAAACGGGGGTGGGGGGCACTGAAGTGTGGGCGGTGCCAGTGGACCATATGCCCAATCGCACATCTCCGAAATACTCTAAATGTGAGAAACATAAATCATTTCTCAATAAAACAACCACTCTGTTCTGTCTACCAAATAATGGCGAAGGCCAAACTGAGAGCACTTTTAATCAAGAACTTATGAAGCAGTTCTCGTAGAGAGTTTGTGCCGTCTCCCCTATTAATAAAAAACGGGCACCTAGAAGAACGTGAAATCAACCTAGAGATTAGTACAGTTTTCCACCAAACCCGATCACACAAGAAAGGAGGCAACCAATTTCTAGGGTACAGGTTAGTCAGAACATCCCAAATGCCAAGCCTTATTCAATGAATCACTTATGTAATCCGAGTATCTTAGGGAAATTTCTTATCCTGTGTCAAGCTTCCTGACACAAGGCTATCGACAGCTCCGATCGTTCCACGTCATCATCAATCGAATCTGAACCCTTCACAGCCTCATGTCAGCCCGCCTGACACAGGCTAAGAACGCACCCTTAGTCTTTGAATTCACACATCGCGCGTTCGCTCCTGGTTGCCGTTGGTCAATTTAATTTCCCGATGATGTTTCCCCAGCCGAACTCCGTCTTACCTTCTTATCTCTCCTGAGTCCGAGCTGGCGAATAGATTCCGACTTCAGGCTGCTAAATTCCCATTTTCCGTCGTAGCCCATCAGTTTTCCTCCCTCTTCCACCCCACGCCATCGCGTTGCACTTGCTCATCCAACGTCGCGTTCACCATTTCCTTGCTGGCCGTCGCATTGCTCTAGCCACCTAGATATCATCACACCACATAATACCGCTCCACCGTACACCATTCCACAGAGCACCACTTCACTGGACGCAGAAACCGTCCAATAGCGGTATTTATTCCTTCCCGGTCACCATGTCCTCACGAGGAGGAAGAGGCAGAGGACTCGGCCTCCGAATCGGCGTGCCGGCTCGGACCACCAACGCGGCTCGACCCCAGCCTCTGCCTCTCCCCGTCCCGCAAGCCCTCCCCATGCCTCCAGCCGGCGCAGCCGCCGCCGCAGCAGCCGCCGCGAAAGGTGCACCTACTAGCGTCCAGCCCGTCCCCGTCGCCGGGATCAACGGCGGACCAGGAGGCGGAGCAGGCGGCGCATTGGGAACTGGTTCTGGTGCTGCTGGTGGAGCCGCGTTAGGCGTCGCGGGGGCGGGAAACGCGGTGAAAGCGCCGATGATGGTGTTCACGCCGCGCGAAGATGTGGCTCTGGAGGATCTGGAGAGGATTCTGCCGCCGTTAGGGTTTGGAAGCGGGGGTCGCGTGTACCGCGTTCGGCATAAGAAATCCGGCAAGGTGATTAATTTTGTTTAGAAGATAAGGCCTTTCCGTTTTTCTGATTCATTTCCCGTTTCACTCACGCCTGAGACGCTGATCCTACGGCGAATCATGGGAGTCGAGCCAACAGAAAAGGTATAACACATGTCATCAATTGTGTTTGTATTTTTTTTTTTTTTTTGACTGTATTGAATGGCAGGAATACGCGCTGAAGGTGATTCAGGAGAAGTACGACGAGGAGGTGCGGAAGCAGATCATTCAGGAGATGCAGATCCTACGGCGCGCACGATCCGACCATGTGAGTGTGCTGACTGCTGCTTGGTTGGGGTGAAGGTGCCAGGATAAAGTGCGATGATGTAGCGACCAAGGGTAGCAACCTTGGGTTGCATGTGGAGTGCGGAAACAGATCATCCAGGAGATGCAGATCCTACGTCCGACCACGTGAGTGCGGCATGGGGTGGTGAATGAGTTGGGCACAGCAAGAGGTGGTGTAGAGTAAGCTGCAGCAAGCAAGGATTGCTGGTCGCATGCGGAAGTGCGGAAGCAGATCATCCAGGAGATGCAGATCCTACGGCGCGCACGATCCGGCCATGTAAGCAGATCATCCATGTGGGATGGAGAGGGAAGGGTGGGGTGAGAGGAGGAGGGGAGGTGACGGCTATGTATTGAATCGAGACGTGCTTGAATGCTGAATGTTTCTCGCATTGAAATTCTAATTTGCGAGCTCATTGCACAATCCTATGCCTGATAATGCCAGGATGAGTGATTGAGTAGTACGTTGTCTCATGTAGCCATTTGACATTTCAGCATGTGAGTGCTGCTTGTAGCACCGATGCTCCACCACCTAGCTGTCCTAACAATTGAGCATGCATGATAGTGCTGCCATGTCATGTCAAGGAATCACATTCATAACCCACACATCGCATTGGGACATCTTGGTATCGCATGCACCGTAATTGTCATGTCATCACCCTCAATCCCATACTCCCATGTCTTTTCATCCGCGTTTCTATGGGCCCACGTTGTCATAACATGCTTCTCCATTCGACAATTTCTCCATTCTATCAATTCTCCATTCTGTCAATTCTCCATTCTATCAATTCTCCATTCTATCAATTCTCCATTCTGTCAATTCTCCATTCTGTCAATTCTCCATTCTGTCAATTCTCCATTCTGTCAATTTTGTAGTCGATAAAAAAATCGTTCGCACGAGCCCACATCGTCATGGCATGCGTCTCCATGCCGTCAGGTCCTTTTTTGAGAGTTTTAATAAAAAAACGCCCGTCAGGTCGTGAAAGCTGCGACATTTTTCATTCACCTTCGGATGCCCTACTCATGACAACCCCATTGCGCTGTGTTGTGTACCTTTCCCCCTTTTCTTCCCCCATTTTATCCGTCTCGCCAGGTGGTGGAGTGTTACGGCATCTTTGACCACCTGGGCGAGATCTCATTCGTCCCGGAGCTCATGGATGGAGGCACTCTGGGTGTGCTGTTCTGGGTCAACTCAGAACACCCCTTCCCCCCGCTTCCTTTTCCCCATCTCGCCAGGTGGTGGAGTGTTACGGCATCTTTGACCACCTGGGCGAGATCTCATTCGTCCTGGAGCTCATGGATGGAGGCACTCTGGGTGTGTTGTTCTGGGTCAACTCAGAACACCCCTTCCCCCCGCTTCCTTTTCCCCATCTCGCCAGGTGGTGGAGTGTTATGGCATCTTTGACCACCTGGGGGAGATCTCGTTCGTCCTGGAGCTCATGGTCATGGATGGAGGCACTCTGGGTGTGCTTTGAGTCTTCTCTAAACTCCCTTCCCCTCTACACCTCTCCCTTCTCCGTCTCTCCGTCTCGCCAGGTGGTGGAGTGTTACGGCATCTTTGACCACCTGGGGGGGATCTTATTCGTCCTGGAGCTCATGGATGGTGGTACGGTACCCCAGGGAGGGCCTAGGTGTGTCTTCAGTTCACTCAGAACACCCCGTCCCACCCCCCCCCCATCTCGCCAGGTGGTGGAGTGTTACGGCATCTTTGACCACCTGGGGGAGATCTCGTTCGTCCTGGAGCTCATGGATGGTGGCACCTTGGCGGATGTGACTAAGAAAAAGGTGAGTCTAACGAAAGCCAGTTTGAAATAAAGAAAATGAGATGAGCTTTAACCAGACTCGAGACTAATATTCAGAAGGGGCGTTAAGACAGAGAGTCCCCATATCCTCTAAAAGTAGGTTAGCCGTACCTCGTATGAGAAGAAAAATCTCCTGGTAACCTTAGTAGCATGAGATTATATGTACTTGGGTTGCAATGCTCATACTAGATTTGCTATTATGTCCCACAGGTGGAAACGACTTGCCGATGGATACTCGTATTCCTTAGGTTCAGCCTGCCAAATCTCTTGCTAAGTCAAGTGTGTCTGATAAGTCTGTCTCGTAACAAAGAGCTCTTTTCAATTCTCCTCACGACAGGCCCTTTTTTTTTTTTTTTTTTTTTGTGCCCTTGTTTTTGCCAGGGCAAGATTCCGGAGTTGTTTATGCCAGAGGTGACGCGGCAGTGCCTGCAGGGGCTGCTGTACCTGCACCGGCAGCACGTGGTGCATCGAGACATCAAGCCCTCCAACCTGCTCTTCAACCGCCAGGGCCAGGTCAGTCAGTCAGCCATGCCAGTCAACGCCAGTCAACGCAGGTCAACGCCAGTCAAGAAGTGAGTGAGTGAGGGGCGGAGGTGGCGAGGCAGTGCCTGCAGGGGCTGCTTTACCTGCACCGGCAACACGTGGTGCATCGTGACATCAAACCCTCCAACCTGCTCTTCAACCGCCAGGGCCAGGTCAGTCAGCCCTGCCAGTCAACGCCAGTCAACGCACTTCAAGCAGTGGGTGAGTGAGGGGCAGATGTGACGCGGCAGTGCCTGCAGGGGTTGCTGTACCTGCACCGGCAACACGTGTTTCATTGTGACATCAAACCCTCCAACCTGGTCGTCAACCGCCAGGGCCAGGTCAGTCAGTCAGCCATGCCAGTCAACGCCAGTCAACGCAGGTCAATGCCAGTCGAGAAGTGAGTGAGTGAGGGCCGGAGGTGACACGGCAGTGCCTGCAGGGGCTGCTGTACCTGCACCGGCAGCACGTGGTTCACCGTGACATCAAGCCCTCCAACCTGCTCTTCAACCGCCAGGGCCAGGTCAGTCAGCCCTGCCAGTCAACGCCAGTCAACGCCAGTCAAGCTCATTCGGATTTCTAAGTCAACTTAATTTCAGTCAAAACGAGTGAGTGGCGGAGGCGACAGATGGAGCCTCTTCCACTGCTTATCCAAAGCGATTGCAACACCCACGTGCGCTCGTTCGGCGCTATCCCCGCCACCTTCACTTGGTTACCACAGGCGGCTCAAGAACCGATTTTTTAGGCGCCTCAAAATTTGACAGATGGAGCCTCCCTCTTCCACTGCGTATGCTTCCTTACTTGGTTACCACAGGCAGCTCAAGAAACCGTCTAAGTTTCCCTCCATTGCTCTAACCTCCCCCCGTTTTCGCAGGTGAAGATTGCTAATATGGGGGTGAGCGAGAGCTGGGATTCAAAGTGCCTCAAAACTCATAATCATTCTCCTGTCTATGCCCTCTTCCCCCTATCCCCAACCAACCCCCTCTCTCCCCCACACCCCTCCCTCTTCTCGCAGGTGAAGATTGCTGATTTCGGGGTGAGCAAGGAGCTGGCGTCCACGCTAGCCCAGTGCAACTCCTATGTGGGCACCTCCGTATTTTGAGTCGACTCAAAACACCCTCTGGCTTCTTGATCCTCGTTTCCCCCCCCCCCCCCTCTTCTCGCAGGTGAAAATCGCTGATTTCGGGGTGAGCAAGGAGTTAGCGTCCACCCTCGCCCAGTGTAACTCCTATGTGGGCACCTCCGCCTACCTCTCCCCCGAGCGCATCAACCCGCCGCCAGGAGAGGGCTTATAAGCTTTTCCCTCGTTCCTCCCCACCCTCGCAGGTGAAGATTGCTGATTTCGGGGTGAGCAAGGAGTTAGCGTCCACGCTAGCCCAGTGCAACTCGTATGTCGGCACTTCCGCCTACCTCTCCCCCGAACGCATCAACCCGCCGCCAGGCGAGGGCTACGACGGCTACCTCTCAGACGTCTGGTCCATGGGGCTCTCTCTCCTCGAGCTCGTGATTGGCCGGTTCCCGTACGTGCAGGCCGGGCAGTCGGCCGATTGGATGACGCTTTTCGGCGCGATTGTTTTCAACGAGCCGCCCGAGGCTCCGGGCAGCTGCTCGTTGGAGTTTCAGGATTTTATCCGATGCTGTTTGCAGAAGGAGCCGAAAAAGAGGAAGAGTGCGGCTGAGTTGCTGGAGCATCCGTTTTGTCAGCTTCTGGTGGGGGATCCTAAGTGGACGGACCTGAAGCAGCTGCTGCCGCCCCAGCCTGCCCAGCCTCCGCAGCAGCCTCGGTTGCCGCCGCAGCTGCACCCGAACCAAGGGGCTGGGCAGGGAGGGCAAGGGGTGAGGGTGGGGCAGGGGACAGGGCAAGGGGGGCAGCAGCAACAGCAGCAGGGGAGGGTAGCTGGGTCTCAAAATGCACAAGTGCAGCAGAGACAGCCATCTCAGCAGGTGCAGCAGGGGCAGGGGCAGGGGCAGCAAGGTCAAGCAGCAGTAGCGGGGGCGGCAGGGCAAGGTGAGCCGCAGAGGGCAGCGCCGCAAGTGCCGGTGGCGGGGATGGTGCTGCAGATGCCGACTGCTGGGTTGTCGAGAGGCAGGAATGTGGTGCTGGCTCAACCGCCTATCCGCCGAGGGGCGAAAGCAGGGCAGACACAGCAGGGGACGCCACAGCAGCAGGGGCAGGGGCAGCCACAGCAACAGCAGCAGGGGCAGCAAGGGCAGTTGCCGCTGCCGCAGCAGCAGCAGCAGCAAGGGTACCCACAACAGCAGATTCAAGGGCAGCAGGTGCAGCAGGTGCAGCAGCAGATGCAAGGGCTGAAGGTGCAGGGGCAGGTGCAGCAGCAAGGCGGTGGAATGGCACAACCAGCACCTCAACGCCAAGCCCCCCAAGCCCCCCAAGCGTCTCAAAGGATGGCCCAGACCGTGCAGACCCAGATGGCTGTAGGGCAAATGAGTCAACTAGGAGGCCAGCAAGTGAGCATGCAAATGAGTCAACAATCAAGCCAGGGTTTTGCACAGGGGCAAGTGCAGGCTTCGATACAGTCACAACCGCAACCACAAGTGCAGATGCAAGGCATGGGTCAGTATCAGCCGCAGCAGCAACAGCCAGTTGTTGGTGGACAGGTGGCAGGACAGCCGCAGCAGCAGTATGGGGTGCAGTCTGGTGTGAAGCACTACCAGCAGAATCCGCAGATGCTTCAGCAGCTCGCAGCAGCACAGCAGACATTGCCAACATGGAAGTAACGCAGCGCTGGTGTAAAAAACACGATGGAAGTATACGTAGGTTTCGGTCCTATCAGTGTCTTGACAATGTATACATTCGTTAGACGACTTCGTACCCCCATGCAAATAAATCACTTGCTTCTGAGCCCAGTTTTAAGCATGTATAATAGAATGTCAACATAACCTAAAAATCTGAAAGTGGTGTAGATCATGACACACGGCAATTGCCTCGCTACAAACGAGGCTGTTCCCGCTCAACCAACCAACCCAATCCAACCACGGCGTTTCTCGTCCACACAAACATCCCTTGGCCAGCCCTGCACAAACCCCAAACCATCCCGAGGTAACTCACAGATTCGTGTAAATGGTTTGATGCGGTTCGATGTGTGTTCAAGGTGTTTCACGAGGTACAGTCACTCACCTCGTTCTTCTTGGAATCTTGATTCTCCTTCAGTCACGATCAGGAGTCGAGTCGAGACTAGAAGCTGAGGGATGTTGCTAGGCTTGTGGCTCTCCGTTGTATCTTGAATCTTGAAGAGTTGATTCCTAGATTTCCACAACTTGTCTTCGAAGGTTTACGTTTCGGAGTAAAGTTCTTGGCACAGGTTGAAGTGTTATTCCAGCGTCTAAACCTCGCGGTTATTCCGACTTCGCGTGCGCTAACCGGCGTCATGCGATTTTCCGCGGGCTATGCCTGTTAGTCGTCGCCGCGAGTACGATTTTTTTAGGCGCCTCAAAAGTCGGGCTGTGCCTGTTAGTCGTCGCCGCGAGAACAATGGTACAGCACGTGCATCCCGATTGCATAAACGCGAGCAACCCCTACCACGAGTGCACGGACTATTGCTTTCGGAAAATCGCCGAGCGGAAAGGCAGGCCTGGAGCGACAGCACCTGCGAAAGGCGAGGGTACGTCTCGTTGATTATTTTGCCGCTATTCTGTTCTTATCAAAATGCGTTTGATGTTGTTTTGTTGATCTGTGACGGATTTTTTTTTTCCGCGAGCTCTTCTGCTGATTGGTTTCGTTAATTCGTTCTTGATTTGTGATTGATTTTCTGCGATTCTGTTTGTCGTCACTCAGCACCGTCGCAGCTCCCTACCTCCTTCGGCAGACAAGAGAAAGTCAGACGGAAATACGACGAGGTTGTTGTAGACGAACGGAAAGCGGCAGTTGGACCAGGAGAGGACGACCTATCCGTTGTCGCAGCGCAGAGCACTCGGCAATCCCGAGGTCGACAAGCGCAGCGTCGAGATTCGCCGGATCGGACGGCCGAGAATGACCGACAGGCGGCGGCGGACGTGGTGGATGTGCCGAGCTACGAAGGGATGGACGCCCGGCAAAAGAAGCTCTTTGAGATACGCCTCAAGTTGGTACGTCTGCTGAAGCTGCTACGTTCGCCCCGGCTGGTATGATTTTCAGGCTAGTAAGCTCGACTGGAGCAGTGTTGGATTGTTTGGTTGAATACTTCCAAATCTTGAGACGAGACGACTGTACGACTCTCAAGCGAGGCCTTCATTATCTTTCTGAACCATTTATCTCTTTCCGCTCCCCTCCCCCCTCCCTCCTTCCCCTTCGCCCTCCCTTCCCCCCCCTCCTCTCCTACCCCCCCAACCCCACTCTTATTTTCCCCCGCTCCTCACATTTTTCCCGGCACTGCCACCCTCGCCCCCCCTCCTGCCGTAACCCATCCCTCCTTCCCCCCTCCATCGCAGAACCAAGCGCGGAAGGCGAATCAGACGGCGGTGGTGGCGGAGAAGCGGCGCGAGGAGAAGCCCGAGGAGGAGGAGTCGCGCGGAGTGAGCAAGGCGGCGTGGTTCGAGGAGAAGAAGCGCAAGATGAGCAAACAGCTCGACGCGGCCGGGCTGGATATCACCAAGGCGTACATGCTGGAGACGCAGGAGGCGGCGGAGGGCAAATACAAGAAGTGGGAGAAGAAAGAGGCGCCCTTTGGCTGGGATGGTGCGTGTTAGGGATGTGGCGGGGGGCGAGGGCGGGGGCGGGGGCGGGGGAAGGCAGGAAAGTGCTAATGGTGGAAGAGTGCGAAGGGTGAAAAAGGATTGTGGGGGAAAGGCTGGATGGCGGAGATCGGGAAAGGGGAACGGCGGAAAGGAAAAAGGATGGGGTAGGAAGTGGTTGGATTCGGGGGGATGGAGATTGATTGAAGTAATAATGATGGGCAATGGACGTAAATTCCCAGTCAGCAGCATAGCGTAGCATGCCCGTAGAATCTCCTAATTCGTTATCTTCCTTTCTTCCCATATCCCCTCCTTGCCTCCTCTTTTGTTATTTCCTGGATTCTCTCCACCCGCCTCCCAGCGTTCAACCAGCAGGCGCTGTACAACGCATACAAGAAGCGCACAGGCAACATCCCTTACACAGAAGAGGACTACCTTAAAGCCAAGGAAAAAGACCCCGACTTTTACCGCGACGATGCGAGTCTCCAGTACGGGCAAGCTCCGGATATTCCCGAGGAGAACGTCGATAGGATGGTATCAGAGTTGACTGACAGAGCCAAGAGCCGCAAGGAGTTCAGCCGGCGGCGGCGGCACCATGATGAGAAGGACATTGATAGTATCAACGACCGGAACGAGCACTTCAACCGGAAGATTGAGCGCGCATTTGGCAAATACACGGTGGAGATTAAGAATAACCTGGAGCGGGGTACTGCGCTGCCTGATTAACCTGGTTCAGGTGAGGCATATGGGATTGGCGGAGTTTGTGGGATGGGGGAGAAGGGTTGGTGAGGATGAAGGAGGGATGTGGTGCAGTGCAGAATGGGGCTGGAGGGAATGGAAGGGGTAGGGATGGAATGGAGCAGGGGAGGGAGGGAAGGCCTGGTATCCACACCGGTGCTATTTCATTGATTAATTTCCCAGAGTCTTTGTTGTCACTGTTAACCCAGTCTATTCTGGGTTGGCGTGGCACATGTTTGTCTCAAAGCGCCATAGGCCGAGCGCCAGCCCATCCAGGCACCTGGGCAGCGTGGTATTCCACGAGACGCATTTCACGCTCATGTTGTTTCCTTCTATGGTCAACCCAGTCAATTCTATGGTAAACCCAGTCAATTCTGGTTGTCTCAAAGTGCCATAGGCCAATCGCCAGCCCATCCAGGCACCTGGGCAGCGTGGTATTCCACGAGACAAGGTATGGCATGCCACTGGCGTGTCAAATACGTGGCGCATCCTCGCGATGCGATTGGCGCACAGCAATTCTCTGTTGTTTGACTGGAAGGGGTGTCATAGCCGCCAAGCTGCCTGAGTTGTGGCAGCCTGGCTAGGGATTTTCCCCACATTCTTTAACTGGTGCACTACTCTGCTGCACCTCCTTTTTTTATGCATTGTTTATATTTTTTTGGAATTCCTGGCATTGCCATTATGTGTCTGCATGTGCATGTTGTCCATTTCAGTTGGCCATTCCTCTCTTCCCCTCCCTCCACCCCATCATCCCCACTTGCCTGTTCCACTGAGATGCTCAAACAGAGCTTTTGAAGAGCTTGATTCCGCTGAAGGTTTTTTTCAGAATGGATACTTCTCTGGCGATGACCTATGGGCTTGTCGGGGCTGGTTACTGGTACCAGCTTACTCCAGGTCACTGTTTGTGGAGGGTTCCAGTCACTAGTGCCGTTTCTGCTGCAGTGCAGTGCTGCCAACCAGCTGACTACAGATTGTGCCTTTTCAATTAGCTATGTGTTTTCACTTGTCAGTCTTGTACAGTTGTATTGTGTTTGGGAAGGCGATTCAGCACTAGTGAACTTGTGGTATTTGACTTCCCAACAATACCATTATTTTTTGCTGAAGCACGTTCAGTACCGGTAATGGGAAATAATCTGCTACGGTATATAGCAGCACAACTCAATTGTACCACCATGACTCACCACCCACCACCCACGCTCCATTCTGCGATGCTACCTTTTTTTCTGCACATGAAGCACAGGTTGAACATAACGTGATCATCAACAAAGGCTGGGGATCGCACCAGGGAAGCGCATGACAGGAGCGGGGGGGAGGTGTAAGAGGAACAAAATGCAGTCGAAGTGATAAAGAGGTACCGTACAAGAATGGGATCTTACCACAAAAGCCTCCAGAGTTGACTGTTTCCTCTTCCTGCTTCCGCTGCCAACAGTCTCCGCTGCTGCTGCTGCTGCCTGGCCTCCTCCTCTGCTTGTTCCAGATGCCTGTGGTTAAAACAAAAGCAAAAGTCAGGGAAGAGGTAGCAGAGATAAACAAAAATAAAATCAGCATGAGTGGTGCACAGAAGCTGATGCTTTGAGTCCAGTGGGAGAAAGTCAACCGCCGCTTTACCTTGCCGCTGCTCAGCTTGGTTGGACCCCTTCGAGACGTCTGAAATAAAAGCCACGTGAAAGTAAAATTTCACAAAGAACCGTCGCTTTACCTTGGCGCTGTTCTTCTTGTCCCGCTTCGCCTGCCGCTCCTTCTCCTCCAGCTCCTGATTCTCCTTCTCCACCAATCGGATGAGAGTGTCGCACCGCCGCGCCAGCTCAGGCGGCTGCCTTGATTTCAAGAACCAGTCGAATTTGAACAGGTGGGATTGACGCACTGCTGCCCGGAGCTCGTCCCAGTTGCCGTATCCCAGCCGTTGGATCATGCAGATCTGACGGACACGAAGGAAGAATGGGAGTCAGTGAAAACAGCAGAAGAAAAGAGAAGAGAGATGGGAGAATCGAATGAGAGAATACAGCTTGGTGTGTCACAAGACTTAACATCAGAGCTAGGATTCAAGTGAGAGGGAGAAGCTGGTGATTCTTTTGGCGCCTCAAAAATCAAAAATCACCTTTTTGAGGCGCCTAAAAAATCACGCCACTACTCGCGGATTTGTAAGGCGCCTAAAAAATAACACCAGAGCTGGGATTCAAGTGAGAAGGACAAGCTGGTGCACGAGTAACAGTGAGAGCAATGCAAAGCATCAATCCACCTCCCCCCCCCACCCACGCGCGCACCATGAAGCGGTCGCTCTCTTCGGTGTAGTACTTGCCCTTGTTGGTGCCGTACTGGATGGTGCGCAGCTGAATGCATGAATTGAAATCCCTTGCACCAATCCAGCCCCCCAACACGCACCATGAATCGGTCGCTCTCTTCGGTGTAGTATTTGCCTTTGTTGGTGCCGTACGGATCCGCAGCTGAACCCATCCTTATCACACCAGATCCTTCTCTATCTCACACCATAAATCATCAACCTCCCCCCCGACCCTCAACACGCACCATGAAGCGGTCGCTCTCCTCGGTGTAGTATTTGCCCTTGTTGGTGCCGTACTGAATGCGCAGCTCCACCCAGGGGTTGCTGTACCGCTCCATCTTGCGCCGCACCGACTGCATTATCTCCTCCCTCCGCACGATGCGCGCCTCGCCCTTCTCTATGTTGCGCAAGATCTTGTCCCAGTCTGTGCACGGGAGAGAAAGAGGGGGCGGGAATGGGGAAAAGGGTGGAAAATGGGGAAAGGGTGGAAAACGGCGAAATTTGTAAATTATAGAAGAGGCAGACAGTTCTCGGGGGACCAAAGCCTCCCCCTTCTGTGAGAAGGAGAGAAAGAGAGGGTGGAAATGGGGAAAGGGTGGAAAACGGCGAAATTTGCCGTTTTGCCGCTTCTATGATAGTAGTGGCAGGCAGTTCTCGGGGGACCAAAGACTCCCTCTTCTCTTATTTGTACAGAACCGCGTCCCAGTAACCAATCCTTTCTTCAGCGATTCTCACCATTCAGCTCCGTGCATCGCTCCCAAAACACTGCAGCATATTCTCGTTGGGGCAGCAAACACTGCCTAAACCCTCCATTTCGGCAGCAATGCTTGCCACGTCCGCCCGCCCGAGCTTCTTCACTCCCTGCAAATCACTCGACTTCCCACAAGCACTACTCACCGTTCAGTTCGGTGCACCGCTCCCAGAACACCGCGGCATACTCTCGAACCTCTGCCTCCGTTTTCCCCTCCATCTCGGCTGCAATGCTTGCCACGTCCGCCCGCCCGTACTTCTCACACAGCCGCAGGAACTGGTTGAAATCCTTGCGCGTCCATGACTTAAAGCCCTGTTGGAGGGGAGAAGGAAAAGGAGAGACCGCGAGAAGGAAGCTTTTATAAAATTGGAACAAGCCAAGAAAACAAAAAGTATATATGTATATATATGCATTTACGCTGCTTTTACAGAAGGGCCAGAAGGGCCTTTGAGAGTTCATGACCTGATGGACCAGCGTTGACTAGTGCTGATGGTGCTGACCAGTGTTGATTAATGCTGTTGGTGCTGCTGGTACATCTCGTGCTGACCTGATTGAGAAGGGTCAGTTTCTCCTCTTGCTCCTCGTCTGTTAGCGAAAGAATTGGCTGCTCGTCTGCTACAAGAAAAAGGGGGAGACGGATGGAGAATCTGTTCTTGAGAATTCTCAAAAACCATAGTTGGCGAAAGAATTGGCTGCTCGTCTGCTACAAGAAAAGGGGGAGATGGATGGAGGTGGGCACATTCAGACCATCACAGACACACACACAGGCGTACAGAGAACCGCATGTATGTAGTTCGTTGGCATCCCATTGTAAGGCTCCAGAAGGACAAGAGAGGCAGACTTGGTTGGTTGGTACTCATCATCCCCCAAACTCCACCTTTGTCCCTCCTTCCCTCTAAATCCCTCCATCCCTCTCCATCCCTCTCCATCCCTCTCCATCCCTCTCCATCCCTCTCCATCCCTCTCCATCCCTCTGTGCCCACTCACCGTCCTCCTCAAACGGTTCGCCCCCTTCCTTGGCCTCCTTCTTTGCTGCCTGCCGTTCCAGTGCTTGCTGCCAACCACACCAGGAGGGAGAAATACGAGAAAAAGTGTGTGAGAGGCAGATTCATCAGCACTCTTCAATCACAACAATCTACAATCACAGCAGCAGCAGCACTGACCAGCTTGGCCGTGGCCTCCTTGCCAAGAGGCACACCAGTCACACTCCCTTTAGATCACCCGCCTACAGCCGCCATAGTCACCTCACAGCAACCCTATAATGACGGCCAGGTCATACAGTGACTAACCAACTTGGCCTTGGCCTCCTTGTCGAAGAGCTCCAAGAGGCACACCACCTGCCTACGGCCATTATAGTCACAATGACTCGCTATTATCACAGTCAGTACACCCACTGACTGACCAGCTTGGCCTTGGCCTCCTTGTCAAAGAGCTCTGAGAGGCACACCAGTCACAAAACTCCATACTGACAACACCCGTTAATCACACAACTCACCAGCTTGGCCTTGGCCTCCTTGTCAAAGGGCTCTGAGAGACAAACCCCCTATGAGGGACTCCTGCTATAATCCCAGAGACAAACCCCCTATGAGGGACACCTGCTATAATCCCAACAAATCGCTACAATGACAGCCAAGTCAGCCAGGGACTGACCAGCTTGGCCTTGGCCTCCTTGTCAAAGAGCTCTGAGAGGCGAGCCGTGTTGAAGAACTGGAAGTCGTGCCTGCGAGGGAGTGGCAGGGTTAGGGTCAGGGTGGGAAGGGGTGGTGGAAGGGGGTGGTGGAAGGGGGTGGTGGACGGGAGTTTTTGAGATTTTCAAAATCCTCCAGCCTGGGAGGGAGTGCCCAAGGTTGTGGAAGGGGGTAGTGGAAGGGGTGGGTGCAAGGAGTGAAAGGAGGACAAGTAGCAAGGATGTCTCAAGAATACGCATTCTAAATGTTGAGTTTCAAGAAGTCTCCTTCCATCCTCTCCCCTCCCTCCCTGCTTGCCCATCCTGGCGCCCTCTCTCCTCTCACGGACTCACAGCAACAGCACTTTTGGCAGCCAAGCCTCCTTTGTGTGATAAGTCGATTTTTGAGTCGACTCAAAAATCGACTCAAAAATCGACTCACAGCAACAGCACTTTAGGCAGCCAAGCCTCCTTTGCCCCTTATCTATTTCCCTTCCCGCTCCCCTTCCTTCCCCCCAATTTTTTCCCCATTCCACCAAACCCTCCCCCTCCCCTTTCTTCCATTCTTCGCCCTCCCACAAACTCACAGCACGGGCATTTTTGGCAGGCGGGCCTCCTTTGACTTGGGCTGAGAGGGAGGGCCCATCCGCATGGCCTGGCGGTAGTACTCCGCTTCTGAGTAGCTGTGACGGGCAAAAAGGGGGAAAGAGGGGGGAGCAAGGAGGTGCCAGTCAGAATGCAGTTTGCACTGCACATACATACACTCCCCATGGCCTGGCCTGGCGATAGTAGTTTCCTTTGGACAGCTGTCTTGAGGGGGGAGTGGAGTGTAAACGAGTGGAGGAGGAGGCGGATGGCAACCAACATGTACGCAGGCACGTAAAGACATACACCCATATGTGCATCTGCACATCCACGCGTGCACGCACACATGCACACGCACACAGATACTCATGCATGCATGCACATGGGGCCACCAAACGGGCTAGAAGAAGGACAAAAGGGTGCTGGGCTGGGCCCACTTCTGTTAAAAGCGAGTACCAGAGCCTCCACTCGCTTTTTCTTCCGCTCTCTCCGCGACGGCTCGACCCACCCAGTTCTCAGAGACCAACATCTTGAGGTCCTGCTTCTCTTCTCCCCCTCATGCTCCAATACTAGTGGACCAGAAGGGCACAGAATGGCTGGGCTCACTTCCAAAAGGGCATAGAAAGGGCTGGAGACACGACACTCACTTTTCCTTCCTCTCTCTCCGCGACCGCTCGACCCAGTTCTCAGTGACAAGCTTCTTGAGGTCGGGTTTCTCCTCCTCCTTGTCGCCCTCGCCCAAACTCTGCAGCGCCGTGTCGTCCATTTTGAACTTTATCGCATCCCCCTCCTCCTCACGCCCTGCTTCTCCTCCGCCTTACTTACCCACACGTGCATGCTCCATGATAATCCACAAAAATACCAGAAAAGGGATGAACCCACCTCAGAAAGGGAATAGAAGGGGCTGGGAGCACTAGACTTACTTCTTCTTGCGCTCTCTCCTTGACGGCTCGACCCAGTTCTCAGTGACCAGCTTCTTGAGGTCGGGCCTCTCCTCCTCCTTACCCGCACACACCTGCTCTGATACTACCAGCATAGGAGTACAGAAAGGCTGAACGTTGCACTCACTTCTTCTTCCTCTCTCTCCGCGACGGCTCGGCCCAGTTCTCTGTGACAAAATTCTTGAGGTCCTGCTTCTCCTCCTCCTCACCCACACATGCTCCAACAATACTAGACCAGAGGGGCACAGAGAAAGTTTAAACTCACTTCTTTTTTCGCTCTCTCCGAGAAGGCTCAACCCAGTTCTCAGTGACCAGCTTCTTGAGATCAGGCCTCTCCTCCTCCTTCTCGCCCTCGCCCAAACTGTACAGCGCCGTGTCGTCCATTTTGAACTTGATCGCATCTTCCGTGAACTTTCTCATCTTGGCGTCCAGCTCAGCGGTCGCCTCCTCCCCCTTGGCGATGATCCTGTCCACGTCAGCATCGGTGATTGTCGTGTTGGCGGAGGTGAAGACCTTTTCCGCTCCGAACCGCACCATTTGAAGCAGCTCGTCCTTGTTCACAGCTGGGAGGGTTGTGGAGGGAAAACAGGGAAAGGCGGTGATTGTCGTGTTGGTGGATGTGAAGACTTTTTCGGCTCCGAACCGCACCATTTGAAGCAGCTCGTCCTTGTTCACAGCTGGGAGGGTTGTGGAGGGAAAAAAGGGAAAGGCGGTGATTGTCGTGTTGGTGGATGTGAAGACTTTTTCGGCTCCGAACCGCACCATTTGAAGCAGCTCGTCCTTGTTCACAGCTGGGAGGGTTGTGGAGGGAAAACAGGGAAGGGCGGTGATTGTCGTGTTGGTGGATGTGAAGACTTTTTCGGCTCCGAACCGCACCATTTGAAGCAGCTCGTCCTTGTTCACAACTGGGAGGGTTGTGGAGGGAAAAAAGGGAAAGGCGGTGATTGTCGTGTTGGTGGATGTGAAGACTTTTTCGGCTCCGAACCGCACCATTTGAAGCAGCTCGTCCTTGTTCACAGCTGGGAGGGTTGTGGAGGGAAAACAGGGAAAGGCGGTGATTGTCGTGTTGGTGGATGTGAAGACTTTTTCTGCTCCGAAGTGCACCATTTGAAGCAGCTCGTCCTTGTTCACAGCTGGGAGGGTTGTGGAGGGAAAACAGGGAAAGGCGGTGATGGTCGTGTTGGTGGATGTGAAGACTTTTTCTGCTCCAAACCGCACCATTTGAAGCAGCTCATCCTTGTTCACAGCTGGGAGGAATGGCGAAATGGAAAACGGGGCAACGTGGGGAGGGGAAGGGGAAACAGCAGCAAGTCAACATCGGTGATGCTTGTGTTGGCAGAGATAAAGACCTTCTCGGCTCCCTGGCAAAAGTAGTGTTTTGAGATGTCTCGAAAGACCATCAAGTCAACATCGGTGATGCTTGTGTTGGCAGAGGTAAAGACCCTCTTGGCTCCCTGGCAAAGGTAGTGTTTTGAGATGTCTCGAAAGACCATCAAGTCAACATCGGTGATGCTTGTGTTGGCAGAGGTAAAGACCCTCTTGGCTCCCTGGCAAAGGTAGTGTTTTGAGATGTCTCGAAAGACCATCAAGTCAACATCGGTGATGCTTGTGTTGGCAGAGGTAAAGACCTTCTCGGCTCCCTGGCAAAAGTAGTGTTTTGAGATGTCTCGAAAGACCATCAAGTCAACATCGGTGATGCTTGTGTTGGCAGAGGTAAAGACCTTGTTGGCTCCAAACTGCACCAATTGAAGGAACGTTTCCTTTCCTTATTCACAGCTGGGAGGAGAGGAGAACAGTTGGTGGTTAACAAATCATTGGGACGTCAAGAGAAACGCTTCAGACACACCCATATGGGCGCATCTCACTCACCTAATAACCCACGTGCTCATTCATATTTCGCCCGAGGCCCTTATCCGCAGACCTCTCTCTCTGCACACGTCCTGCACACCCCCCTTCTCCACATACCTCGCTGCTCTGCCAGCCTGCCCTGTTGGATGATCAGAGCGTCCAGAGCCAGCTTCTGGTACGCTCGCTTGATCAAGATCTAATGTTCATGCGGGCTCAGCACACCTCATAGCCCACATGCTCACACAGCAGCCGCAACCAAGCCCCTTACTGGCATACCTCGCTGCTCTGCCAGCCTGCCCTGTTGGATGATCAGAGCGTCCAGAGCCAGCTTCTGGTACGCTCGCTTGATCAAGATCTAATGTTCATGCGGGCTCAGCACACCTCATAGCCCACATGCTCACACAGCAGCCGCAACCAAGCCCCTTACTGGCATACCTCGCTGCTCTGCCAGCCTGCCCTGCTGAATGATGAGCGCATCCAGAGCCAGCTTCTGGTACGCCCGCTCCCTCACACCTAGCAACCCCAAGTTCCCCAACGCCCACACGGGCTCAGCACACCTTGCAACCCGATCACCCAACAAATACCCCCCTTATCGGCGTACCTCGCTGCTCTGCCAGCCTGCCCTGCTGGATGATCAGCGCGTCCAGAGCCAGCTTCTTGTACGCGCGCTCTATCAGACCTTCCACCCCACATGTTCATGCGGGCTCAGCACACCTCGTCACCCACATGCTCACACAGCAGCAGCAACCAAGCCCCTCACTGGCATACCTCGCTGCTCTGCCAGCCTGCCCTGCTGGATGATGAGTGCATCCAAAGCCAGCTTCTTGTACGCGCGCTCTATCAGACCTTGCAACCCCAACGCCCACACGAGCTCAGCACGCCCTGCAATTCGCTCACCCAACAAACATCCCCCTTATCGGCATACCTCGCTGCTCTGCAAGTCTGCCCTGCTGGATGATTAGAGCGTCCAGAGCCAGCTTCTTGTACGCTCGCTCTATCACCTTCTCCTCTATCGTGTGCTGGCAGGTGGAAGGGGAAGATTAAAGTGATAACAGTTGAGAACTGTGGGCGAACAACAGAGCCAGCAGAAGCTTGTACAGGGAGGAGGGAGGGAGGGGAGAGGGAACGGACGGACGTACAGTACGGACGGACAGAGGGATGGACCACGACAAACAGCCCATGTCAGCGCAGCTTGGGAGGAGGGGAAAGAGCCATATGAAAGAAGTGTATTTGTGAGTCGTCTAAAAAATACACGTATTTCACATGTCAGCGCAGATTGGGAGGAGCGGAAAGAGCAAGTGAGGGACGGCTACAGGCAGCTGACTTCAGCGCAGATTGGGGGACATGAGCAGGAGCGAGGGAGGCAATGGGGCGGAGGGCAAGAGGGATCGAGATGGGCAGCTCACCTCAGTGCAGAAGCGGAAGACCTGCACTTCCTTTTTCTGCCCGATGCGATGCGCTCGGTCCATGGCCTGCAGGTCCGCTTGGGGGTTCCTGGGATGTAGAGAGAAAGGAAGGATTGGGCACGGAGACAGGGATTTATGAGGCGTGCCGCGTGAGGCGATGAGCTTGCTCTGTCCGTGGCTTGCAGGTCTGCGTGGGGGTCCCTGGGAGAAAGGAGAGCCAAGAGAGCAAGGTGTTTTTGAGAATAAAAATAACACACACACACAGACACAGACACACACACACACACACACACACACACACACACACACACACACACACACATATACACACACACATACAGACAAAAAAAAAACTACTCACGAGAGCAGCTTTCGACTCACCAGTCGGAGTCGTATATAATCACGATGTCAGCCGTGGCAAGATTGTTCCCCAGCCCACCCGCCCAAGTAGAAAACAGGAGGATGAGCATCTCACTGCTCTCATTGCTCTCACTGCCACCTCGCTCTCGACTCACCAGTCAGAGTCGTATATAATCACGATGTCAGCCGTCGCGAGGTTAATCCCCAGCCCGCTCAAGTGGAGAAGAGCAAGATGAGCCTTTCACTGCTCTCACTGCTATCACTGCCACCTCGCTCGCTCTCGACTCACCAGTCAGAGTCGTAGATAATCACGATGTCAGCCGTCGCGAGGTTGATCCCCAGCCCGCGCGAGCGGAGAACAGGGGGATGAGTGTCTCTGCTCTCACTGCCACCTCGCTCGCTCTCGACTCACCAGTCAGAGTCGTAGATAATCACGATGTCAGCCGTGGCGAGGTTAATCCCCAGCCCGCGCGAGCGGAGGACAGGAGGATGAGTGTCTCACTGCTCTCACTGCCACCTCGCTCGCTCTCGACTCACCAGTCAGAGTCGTAGATAATCACGATGTCAGCCGTGGCGAGGTTAATCCCCAGCCCACCCGAGTGGAGAACAGGAGGATGAGTGTCTCACTGCTCTCACTGCCACCTCGCTCGCTCTCGACTCACCAGTCAGAGTCGTAGATAATCACGATGTCAGCCGTGGCGAGGTTAATCCCCAGCCCACCCGAGTGGAGAACAGGAGGATGAGTGTCTCACTGCTCTCACTGCCACCTCGCTCGCTCTCGACTCACCAGTCAGAGTCGTAGATAATCACGATGTCAGCCGTCGCGAGGTTAATCCCCAGCCCGCCCGCCCGAGTAGACAGCAGAAAGATGAACGTCTCACTTCCTTCTTTATTAAACTCCTCGATCGCCGCCTCCCTCTCGTCACCCCCCGTGTTGCCGTCGATCCGGCAGTACTGGTGCCCGCGAAACATGCAGTAATCTTCTAGAATGTCCAGCAGGCGCGTCATCTGGGAGAAGATGAGCACCCGTGAGTCCCGCGCCTTCAGCTTTGGGAGCAGCCGGTCCAGCAGCACCATCTTCCCGGAAGCTTCTATCAGGTGCTCGTCTGTGATGAAGGGCGGGCCGGGCTCGGCACCCTGGAAGGGTATTAGGACGTGGGGGGTGTGAGAAGCAATTATTTACACTTGACCCAGAATCCGAGCTCGGCGCAATAAAACGGTATTATTAGGAAGCGGAGGGAGTGGGAAGCACAGGGCACTTGAGCGCATAGAATACTGTGGAGTTCAAGCGGTACAGGAGTGGAGATCTTCCTGGGTGCTTTGTATCTACTACCGGTGCCAGCAAAGTGTGCACAGTGGTACCTGGAAGAGGTAGGGGTGGTTGCAGCACTTGCGCAGCTGCATGGCAATGTTGAGCAGGCGAGACCTCTCCCCCCCGCTGTTGAGCACCTTTATGTCCTTCTGCAGCAGCGCCCGGTAGTAGTTGCGCTGCACCTCACTCATGCCCACCTGGTGGAATGAGGGAGAAGGGAGAAAAGGGTGTTGGGGAGACTGATGGGAGCGAGGTAGACCTTGATTCTGAGCAGGCGGGACCTCTCCCCTCCACTGTTGAGCACCTCTATGTCCTTCTGCAGCAGCGCCCTGTAGTAGTTGCGCTGCACCTCACTCATGCCCACCTGGTGGCAGAGAGGGAGAGTGTGTGGAGGTTGAAGGCACAGTGAGTAGGGAAAGAAACAAGTAAAAAGGGCGACTGGAAAGGGCTAAAGCTTTATGTCCTTCTGCAGCAGCGCCCGGTAGTAGTTGCGCTGCACCTCACTCATACCCACCTGATGGCAGAGAGAGTCAAGGGGTTGGGGAGGTGGAAGGCAGCAGAGCGAGTAGGGAGAGGAACAAGTTTGAGAGGCTGATGGGAAAGGACTAGAGCACTATGTCCTTCTGCAGCAGCGCGCGGTGGTAGTTGCGCTGCACCTCACTCATGCCCACCTGATGGCAGGTCAGGGTGGGGAGGTGAACGGCAGACAGAGTAGGAGGAGAAAAAGGTTTGTGAGGCTGGCTGCTAGAGCTCTATGTCCTTCTGCAGCAGCGCCCGGTAGTAGTTGCGCTGCACCTCACTCGTGCCCACATGAGGCCAGGTCAGAGTCGGTGGGGAGGTGAAAGGCAGAGTGAGAAGGGAGAGAAACAGGTTGGAACGGCGATTGGAAAGGGCTAAAGCTCTATTTCCTTCTGCAGCAGTGCGCGGTAGTAGTTGCGCTGCACCTCACTCATGCCCACCTAACCACAAGGAGGGTAAGGAGGTGGAAGGCAGAGTGAGCAGGAAGAGAAACAAGTTACAAGGCCAATTTGTAAGGGTTAGCCCTCTAAGTCCTTTTGAAGCAGCGCCCGGTGCTAGTTGCGCTGCGCTGCACCTCACTCATGCCCACCTGATGGCAGAGAGAGCAGGGGGAGAAAGCTGTTAGCGAGGCTGAATGGTCCTCCTTGTCCGACGGCTGGAACCACTCGTCAAACGCCTCTTCTCTCCGCTACAGCCGATTTTTGACGGCCTCAAACGCCAATGCACTCTCTAATGCTACCTAATGCACATCCACCCCCCTTGTTTTGCACGAGGCAATACCAGTACCTTCAAGATCGTCTCTTTCTTGGGAGGGAGCCCTCTCTCCACGTCCGATTTAAGGCGCCGAAGCAGGAAGGGGCGGAGCATCTTGTGCAGCTGCTGCACCACCTCCTGCCGGTCCTCCCCGTCTGACTTTTGAGTCGACTCACAGATCAGTTCACACATGGTATTACCTTCAGAATGGTCTCCTTCTTGGGAGGGAGCCCTCTCTCCACGTCCGATTTGAGCCGGCGGAGCAGGAAGGGGCGGAGCACCTTGTGCAGCTGCTGCACCACCTCCTGCTGGTCCTCCCCGTCTGACAGCTGGAACCACTCGTCAAACGCCTCTGCTGAGCTGAAGATCTCGGGCAGAAGAAAGTTCAGGAGTGCCCAGAGCTCGTGAAGATTGTTCTGCAGAGAAAAGACGGAAAGAGGAGAGGGAGAGGGAGGGGAGGGAGCGAATGCACGATCCAGATATGTGGACGCAGGGGGTCCAGCGCCTACAGCAAACCTGCAGTGGAGTCCCGGTGATGAACAGGCAGTAATTCGAGAAGAAGAGGCACATGGTCGGTGGTGGCGGGCGGGGGGAGGGGCGGCGGGGGAGGGGGGGAGGGTCCAGCCAGCCAGCCTACAGCATACCTGAAGCAGAGTCCCGGTGATGAGGAGGCGGTAGTTAGATGAAAAGAGGCGCATGGTCTTGGAAAGAATCGAATTTTCATTCTTAATGCGGTGCGCCCCATCAATTATGATATACTGCCACGACAGCCTCCTTTCGAGGAGAAGAGGCGCATGGTGGGTGGTGAGGGCCGGGAAGGGGGGAGGGAGGAAAGGGCCAAGGGGAAGAGGGAGTCCAGCAGACCTACAGCCTACAGCATACCTGCAGGGGAGTCCCGGTGATGAGCAGGCGGTAATTCGAGGAGAAGAGGCGCATCGTCTTTGACAGAATGGAGTTTTCATTCTTAAAGCGTTGCGCCTCGTCAATGATGATGTACCGCCACGACAGCCGCCGGAACGCCGACTTCTCCTTGATCACCATCTCGTAACTGGTTACCACCACGTCAAACTTCCCCGGCTGCATCAGATTGGTGCGCTGGTGGGGCCGGGGTGCAGTGCAGCCAACCGAAACCACAACATACCTGGAGTGGAGTCCCGGTGATGAGGAGGCGGTAGTTGGATGAGAACAGCCGCATGGTCTTGGAGAGAATAGAGTTCTCGTTCTTGATCCGATGCGCCTCGTCTATGATAATATACCGCCACGACAGCCGCCGGAACGCCGTCTTCTCCTTGATCACCATCTCGTAGCTCGTCACCACCACGTCAAACTTCCCCGGCTGCATCAGATTGGTGCGCTGGTGGGCGCAGGGTGCAGTGCAGCCAACCGAAACCACAACATACCTGAAGCGGAGTGCCAGTGATGAGCAGGCGGTAGTTGGAGGAGAACAGGCGCATGGTCTTGGACAAAATCGAATTCTCGTTCTTGATGCGGTGCGCCTCGTCGATGATAATGTACCGCCACGACAGCCGCCGGAACGCCGACTTCTCCTTGATCACCATCTCGTAACTGGTTACCACCACGTCAAACTTCCCCGGCTGGAGCATGTGGGTGCGCATGTGGGCGCGCTCGTCCTGGGTGCCGTGGAACTTGAAGGCGCGCAGGGAGGGGCAGAAGCGGTGCAGCTCCTTGATCCAGTTGCCCAGCGTGGACTTGGGCGCCACCACCATGTGCGGCCCTGATATGCCCTTGAACTCCTGCAGGTACCCCAGCAGCGATATGCTCTGCAGGGTCTTGCCCAGACCCTGGGATGGGTTCACGATTTAGGGAGGAGGGAGGGAACAGAGAGGGGAGGGGAAAGAGGGAGGGAGTAGGAGTATGAGGCACTAGCACGCGCACAGCTCCTCCTGGTTGCCGTGGAACTTGAAGGCGCGCAGGGAGGGGTAGAAGCGGTGCAGCTCCTTGATCCAGTTGCCCAGCGTGGACTTGGGCGCCACCACCATGTGCGGCCCTGATATGCCCTTGAACTCCTGCAGGTACCCCAGCAGCGATATGCTCTGCAGGGTCTTGCCCAGACCCTGGGATGGGTTCACGACATAGGGAGGAGGGAGGGAACAGAGAGGGGAGGGGAAAGAGGGAGGGAGTAGGAGTATGAGGCACTAGCACGCGCACAGCTCCTCCTGGTTGCCGTGGAACTTGAAGGCGCGCAGGGAGGGGCAGAAGCGGTGCAGCTCCTTGATCCAGTTGCCCAGCGTGGACTTGGGCGCCACCACCATGTGCGGCCCTGATATGCCCTTGAACTCCTGCAGGTACCCCAGCAGCGATATGCTCTGCAGGGTCTTGCCCAGGCCCTGGGATGGGGTAGAAGGGTTGGGGGGAAGAGAGGTGGGAGGAGGGGAGAGAGGGGAGGAGAGAGTGGCGGGAGGAGAGAGAGGGGAGGAGAGAGTGGGGGGAGGAGAGGGAGGGGAGGAGAGAGTGGGGGGAGGAGAGGGAGGAGGGGGAGTATGAGGCACTAGCACGCGCACAAATCGTCCTGGGTGCCGTGGAACTTGAAGGCGCGCAGGGCGGGGCAGAAGCGGTGCAGCTCCTTGATCCAGTTGCCCAGCGTGGACTTGGGCGCCACCACCATGTGCGGCCCTGATATGCCCTTGAACTCCTGCAGGTACCCCAGCAGCGAGATGGACTGGAGGGTCTTGCCTAGACCCTGGGAAAGGTGAAGGGTTTGTGGTGTGAGAGGGGGGAGGAAGTGGGGGAAGGGGAGTGGGAAGTAAGTAAGTGGTTGGGAGGAGGGAAGTGGACTTGGGTGCCACCACCATGTGCGGCCCTGATATGCCCTTCAACTCCTGCAGGTACCCCAGTAAAGAGACGGACTGAAGGGTCTTGCCAAGGCCCTGTGATGGGGGCAGGGGGGTGTGGGAGGGGGAGGAGAGGGGGGGAAGAGGGACAGGGAAGTGAGTAAGTGGTTGGGGGGAAGTAGTGGACTTGGGTGCCACCACCATGTGCGGCCCTGATATGCCCTTGAACTCGTGCAGGTACCCCAGCAGGCAAGCAGGTGAGAAAAGGAAAAGGAGATGAGAGGGCCGAAATTGGATGGGGAGGGGAGCAAAGGCTAACATACTCTCCTCCAATCACATATAAAATACTATGTTCCTATTAAACTCGTTCAATTCCTGTGGACAAGCACGAAATTACTTGGGACTCGAAAATTTTTAGACTACGCGTTATTCGTTTGCATATTGTCTCACCATTTCGTCGGCCAGAATGCCGTTGATGCCATTCTCGTAGAGCCGGATCATCCAATTGAGACCCGCCAGCTGGTAGTCCCTCATCTTGCCCTGGATGCCTGGGTAGGGTGGGACGGAGCAGAAGGAGGGGGGGAGGGGGCAGCTTTTGAGTTTACTCAAAAGCAGACCCGCCAGCTGGTAGTCCCTCATCTTGCCCTGGATGCCTGGGAAGGGCGGGAAGGGGCAGGAGGAGAGGGAGAGGTGGGGAGAGAATATTTTAGATGCAAGCAATGCGATATGTAAGTAAGAGGTACAGTCAGGAGCAAGAAAAAGGTACCACAAAGCTCGCAGCTAACCAGCAGCAACCCAGAAAACGGACAGCTAAAAAGAAATAGAGCCATTACAAAACAAGCAACCACAGTCGTCGACGTCAAACATGGTCAGAATCTTCCAGGAAAGTTGCACTGACAGTCAGATGAGACGATACTGCTCAAACAAACGAAATAGAGAAGACACACGAAGCTAAGAAGCTGAAGAACACGCCAGAGCTTACAAGAGGGCTGCACGAGCAGTCTGGTGGTGCTGCCTCCGTCCCCCAGCACTTCTTCCTCCTCCTTCAGATACTCCTCGTCCTCCTCCTCCTCTGTCAGCTTTGAACTCCCCCGACCTCGACCCACGCAACGTGCTGGAATATCTTTTGAGGCACCTAAAGAGACTTGCAAGAGGGTTGCACAAGCAGTCTGGTGGTGCTGCCTCCGTCTCCCAGCGCCTCTTCCTCCTCCTTCCGATACTCCTCGTCCTCCTCCTCCTCTGTGAGCTTCGAACTCCCTCGACCCACGCAAAGTGCTGAAATATCTTTGAGGCACCTAAAGAGACTTACAAGAGGGTTGCACGAGCAGTCGGGTGGTGCTGCCTCCATCCCCCAGCGCCTCTTCCTCCTCCTTCAAATACTCCTCGTCCTCCTCCTCCTCTGTCAGCTTCGAGCTCCCCCTACCCCGCCCCTTGCCTCGGCCCTTGCCCTTGGGCTTCACAGGCGAGTCGTGCTGCTGTGCAAAGTGCTGGAATATCTCCGTCTGCTGCAGCAGGAACTTGAGCCTCCCCTTGGCGTTGTCGGCCTGCCCAGGGACGGAGGGAATAGGGAAGCAGGTGAGGAACAGAGTTGATTATTGAGGTGATTCTAAAGTCAGATCCTTGCCTCTGCCCTTGCCCTTGCGCTTCACAGGCGAGTCGTGCTGCTGTGCAGAGTGTTGGAATATCTCCGTCTGCTGCAACAGGAACTTGAGCCGCCCTTTAGCATTGTCGGCCTGCCCAGGAACGGAACGGAGGGAATAAGGAACCCGGGGAGGAACAGAGAGGCATACAGATAGCTGCCTTTGAAGTTCACTAGGAATTTTGCGGTTTAGTGTTGTTCTGCGCCTTAAGCTCCTCCAGCTCCCATTTCTAGCTCCGCTTCATCTCCCTCAGCTCAGGTTATCATATATTCTCAAGTTAACTTCACGGCATCTCCAAATGCCCCTGCTTACCGTTTCGGCTTGTACGGCTTCGTTCTGTCGCTTGACGAGCTCCTCCAGCTTCCTCTTCTTGTTCCACTTCATCTCCCCCAGGCTGCCCTCCATACTCAAACAAAATAAGAGCACGAAGCCCCTCGGCAGTCCCTTGCTTACCGTTTCGGCTTGCACGGCTTCGTTCAGTCGCTTGACGAGCTCTTCCAGCTCCCTCTTCTTGATCCGCCTCATCTCCCTCTGGTTGCCCTTTTTTTCATGATAACCGCAGGAAGCCCCTCCAACATCTCTTTCTTACCGTTTCAGCCTGCACGGCTTCGTTCTGCCTCTTGACGAGCTCCTCCAGCTCCTTCTTCTTGTTCCGCTTCATCTCCCTCAGCCGCTCCCTCTCCTTCCTCGCTATCTCCTTGCGCTGCAATGTGACAAGACCGAGGAAACACAGAGTGGAGGGGAACCAATTAGCCGTGAATAACAATCCTCAACTCAAAAAGTGCATAGTTTTGCTTCATCTCCCTCAGCCGCTCCCTCTCCTTCCTCGCTATCTCCTTGCGCTGCAAATCGACCAGACCGCAGGAAACACAGAGAGGAGTGGAGCCATTGAGCCATTGAATCAAGCAGCGACGGAAGGACAGCAGCTGCACGGGGCATGGGCAAAGGGCAAACGGCGACTCTACTCTCTTGACGAGACCCAGCGGGAGAGACTATTGACGACAAAACGCGCAATTGCTACCTCGTTGAAATGCGGCTCGTCTTTATGAGGGTCGTCCTCGTCCGCTTGCTCAACCTCCTCCTCCTCGTCGTCGTCGTTCATTTCGTCGTCGCCAGCTTGCTCGCCGTCGTCGCCCTCCTCCACTTCCTCCGCCTCGATCACCGCGAGCTCCTCGGGATCATCGCCAGCTTCAGAATCACCCTTGGGATCATCGCCGTTACCGATCGTTTCCACCTGATCCTCATCCTCCTCATCTTCCTTCTCCCGATCCTCCTTCGCTTTCACTTCCTTCACATCAGCAGCTGCATCCTCAGCATCCTCCATCTCTTCGTCCTTGTTCTCTACGTCGCGCGTCTTCTCCTGTTGAGCGACCTCATCCTTCATTTCCGCGTCGGATTTTCGCACTGATATAGCTTCTATCTTCCGTCCGCGATATCCTAGACTTCACGCCACTGTCACCGCTACCCCCTCCTTCAGTATGCGAGTATTCCGCTACCTCTTATACGCGTATTTCGGAGTCGAATGTATGAGCTGAAATCGCAGCCCCAGTTGCGCCTCAATCCCTCGATGGTCGGCAATGTTTGATCAAACACCCGTCAATTCGCACACAATCACCAGCTGCCGAGATCCCCGTCACGTAATGCAGGAGGATGCAGGGTTGAAGGAGAGTTATGAGTTTCGAGTGCGTGCATGCATTTACTCCGCCTTGTTGTGCTCCGCCTCTTGGCGCCGCACCTCCTCCGTGAACTCAAAGCTGCGGTGGGTGAGGGGGTGGAAACAGGGGCGGAAGAGAGGGGTGAGTAAAGGAGAGATTTATGCATTCACATGTGCGCAAACTGTTCTGCCTTGTTGTGCTCGACCTCTCGGCGCCGCACCTCCTCCGTGAACTCAAAGCTGCGAGATTTGTGAGGGAGGGGAGGGTGGGGATGTTCGGAGGGTACAGGGATGCAGGGATGTAGGGGTGAAGGAGAGCTTTGAGTGTGTGTGTGGAAGTGTGTGGACGTGTGTGCCCGTGTTGTGTGCCCTGTGTTGTTCGGCTTTGTTATGCTTGGCCTCTCAGCGCCGCACCGTGTCAGACTCCACCCCATCAGACCCCACCCCACCCCACCTTACTCCACTCCACTCCACCCCACCCCACCCCATCCCACCTCACTCCACCCTACCGGTCACTAACACTCACCCTGGCATGTCAGCGAGTCGGATATTAACGAGGATGAGCTCGAAGGAGTGCGGCAGCGGCGTGAGTCGCGAGAGGGCCTCCGCTGAGCTGTCAACCGCCACCACCACGTTAGCAAAGTGCGAAACCAGCTCAGCAGCCGCCTTGCGTGTGATGTAGTGGTGGTCGACCACCAGGACTCTCTTTCCCTTGAGGCACAGCCGCAGCAGCAGCTGCCTTCTCCTGGTGGCCAGTGCTGTTGTCTCCCGTGGATTCAGCCCAAGCGCCTTGAGGGGTAGGAGAGAGGGAGGGGAGAAGGCAGGAGAGAGGGAGGGAAACGGCAGGAGAGAGGGAGGAAGAGGGTAATCACGGAAGATAAAGAAGGAGGGGCAAGGGGAAGGGAAAGGGCGGAGGGAAGAGGGTGACGTGAATAGAGTGATGAAGTGGTGGTCGACCACCAGCACTCTCTTTCCCTTGAGGCACAGCCGCAGCAGCAGCTGCCTTCTCCTGGCGGCCAACGCTGTTGCCTCCCGTGGGTTCAGCCCGAGCGCCTTGAGGGGAGAGGGAGGATGGGAGAGGGTAGGAGAGAATACGAGGGTAGGAGAGGGGGAGGGGTCAGAAAGAGGGAGGAAGAGGGGAATGCAGGAAAAGCAGGCAGAGGAAAGAGGGAGGAGGAGGGGTAGGAGACAGGACGGCAAGAGAGGAGTGAAGGAAAAGCAGGAGAGGCCATGTGCCATGTGCCATGTGCCATGTGCCATGTGCCATGTGCCATAAGCCGCGTGCCATGTCCCATAAGCCGCATGCCATGTCCCATAAGCCGCATGCCATGTCCCATAAGCCGCATGCCATGTCCCATAAGCCGCATGCCATGTCCCATAAGCCGCATGCCATGTCCCATAAGCCGCATGCCATGTCCCATAAGCCGCGTGCCATGTCCCATAAGCCGCATGCCATGTCCCATAAGCCGCGTGCCATGTCCCATAAGCCGCATGCCATGTCCCATAAGCCGCATGCCATGTCCCATAAGCCGCATGCCATGTCCCATAAGCCGCATGCCATGTCCCATAAGCCGCGTGCCATGTCCCATAAGCCGCATGCCATGTCCCATAAGCCGCATGCCATGTCCCATAAGCCGCGTGCCATGTCCCATAAGCCGCATGCCATGTCCCATAAGCCGCGTGCCATGTCCCATAAGCCGCATGCCATGTCCCATAAGCCGCATGCCATGTCCCATAAGCCGCATGCCATGTCCCATAAGCCGCATGCCATGTCCCATAAGCCGCATGCCATGTCCCATAAGCCGCATGCCATGTCCCATAAGCCGCATGCCATGTCCCATAAGCCGCATGCCATGTCCCATAAGCCGCATGCCATGTCCCATAAGCCGCATGCCATGTCCCATAAGCCGCATGCCATGTCCCATAAGCCGCATGCCATGTCCCATAAGCCGCATGCCATGTCCCATAAGCCGCATGCCATGTCCCATAAGCCGCATGCCATGTCCCATAAGCCGCATGCCATGTCCCATAAGCCGCATGCCATGTCCCATAAGCCGCATGCCATGTCCCATAAGCCGCGTGCCATGTCCCATAAGCCGCGTGCCATGTCCCATAAGCCGCGTGCCATGTCCCATAAGCCGCATGCCATGTCCCATAAGCCGCATGCCATGTCCCATAAGCCGCATGCCATGTCCCATAAGCCGCATGCCATGTCCCATAAGCCGCATGCCATGTCCCATAAGCCGCATGCCATGTCCCATAAGCCGCATGCCATGTCCCATAAGCCGCATGCCATGTCCCATAAGCCGCATGCCATGTCCCATAAGCCGCATGCCATGTCCCATAAGCCGCATGCCATGTCCCATAAGCCGCATGCCATGTCCCATAAGCCGCATGCCATGTCCCATAAGCCGCATGCCATGTCCCATAAGCCGCATGCCATGTCCCATAAGCCGCATGCCATGTCCCATAAGCCGCATGCCATGTCCCATAAGCCGCGTGCCATGTCCCATAAGCCGCATGCCATGTCCCATAAGCCGCATGCCATGTCCCATAAGCCGCGTGCCATGTCCCATAAGCCGCATGCCATGTCCCATAAGCCGCGTGCCATGTCCCATAAGCCGCATGCCATGTCCCATAAGCCGCATGCCATGTCCCATAAGCCGCATGCCATGTCCCATAAGCCGCATGCCATGTCCCATAAGCCGCATGCCATGTCCCATAAGCCGCATGCCATGTCCCATAAGCCGCATGCCATGTCCCATAAGCCGCATGCCATGTCCCATAAGCCGCATGCCATGTCCCATAAGCCGCATGCCATGTCCCATAAGCCGCATGCCATGTCCCATAAGCCGCATGCCATGTCCCATAAGCCGCATGCCATGTCCCATAAGCCGCATGCCATGTCCCATAAGCCGCATGCCATGTCCCATAAGCCGCATGCCATGTCCCATAAGCCGCATGCCATGTCCCATAAGCCGCGTGCCATGTCCCATAAGCCGCGTGCCATGTCCCATAAGCCGCGTGCCATGTCCCATAAGCCGCATGCCATGTCCCATAAGCCGCATGCCATGTCCCATAAGCCGCATGCCATGTCCCATAAGCCGCATGCCATGTCCCATAAGCCGCATGCCATGTCCCATAAGCCGCATGCCATGTCCCATAAGCCGCATGCCATGTCCCATAAGCCGCATGCCATGTCCCATAAGCCGCATGCCATGTCCCATAAGCCGCATGCCATGTCCCATAAGCCGCGTGCCATGTCCCATAAGCCGCATGCCATGTCCCATAAGCCGCGTGCCATGTCCCATAAGCCGCATGCCATGTCCCATAAGCCGCATGCCATGTCCCATAAGCCGCGTGCCATGTCCCATAAGCCGCATGCCATGTCCCATAAGCCGCGTGCCATGTCCCATAAGCCGCATGCCATGTCCCATAAGCCGCATGCCATGTCCCATAAGCCGCATGCCATGTCCCATAAGCCGCATGCCATGTCCCATAAGCCGCATGCCATGTCCCATAAGCCGCGTGCCATGTCCCATAAGCCGCGTGCCATGTCCCATAAGCCGCGTGCCATGTCCCATAAGCCGCGTGCCATGTCCCATAAGCCGCGTGCCATGTCCCATAAGCCGCATGCCATGTCCCATAAGCCGCGTGCCATGTCCCATAAGCCGCGTGCCATGTCCCATAAGCCGCGTGCCATGTCCCATAAGCCGCGTGCCATGTCCCATAAGCCGCATGCCATGTCCCATAAGCCGCATGCCATGTCCCATAAGCCGCGTGCCATGTCCCATAAGCCGCGTGCCATGTCCCATAAGCCGCGTGCCATGTCCCATAAGCCGCGTGCCATGTCCCATAAGCCGCGTGCCATGTCCCATAAGCCGCGTGCCATGTCCCATAAGCCGCAGTGCCATGTCCCATAAGCCGCGTGCCATGTCCCATAAGCCGCGTGCCATGTCCCATAAGCCGCGTGCCATGTCCCATAAGCCGCGTGCCATGTCCCATAAGCCGCGTGCCATGTCCCATAAGCCGCGTGCCATGTCCCATAAGCCGCGTGCCATGTCCCATAAGCCGCGTGCCATGTCCCATAAGCCGCATGCCATGTCCCATAAGCCGCGTGCCATGTCCCATAAGCCGCATGCCATGTCCCATAAGCCGCATGCCATGTCCCATAAGCCGCATGCCATGTCCCATAAGCCGCATGCCATGTCCCATAAGCCGCGTGCCATGTCCCATAAGCCGCGTGCCATGTCCCATAAGCCGCGTGCCATGTCCCATAAGCCGCATGCCATGTCCCATAAGCCGCGTGCCATGTCCCATAAGCCGCGTGCCATGTCCCATAAGCCGCGTGCCATGTCCCATAAGCCGCGTGCCATGTCCCATAAGCCGCGTGCCATGTCCCATAAGCCGCGTGCCATGTCCCATAAGCCGCGTGCCATGTCCCATAAGCCGCGTGCCATGTCCCCATAAGCCGCGTGCCATGTCCCATAAGCCGCGTGCCATGTCCCATAAGCCGCGTGCCATGTCCCATAAGCCGCGTGCCATGTCCCATAAGCCGCATGCCATGTCCCATAAGCCGCATGCCATGTCCCATAAGCCGCATGCCATGTCCCATAAGCCGCAGTGCCATGTCCCATAAGCCGCGTGCCATGTCCCATAAGCCGCGTGCCATGTCCCATAAGCCGCGTGCCATGTCCCATAAGCCGCGTGCCATGTCCCATAAGCCGCATGCCATGTCCCATAAGCCGCGTGCCATGTCCCATAAGCCGCGTGCCATGTCCCATAAGCCGCGTGCCATGTCCCATAAGCCGCGTGCCATGTCCCATAAGCCGCGTGCCATGTCCCATAAGCCGCGTGCCATGTCCCATAAGCCGCGTGCCATGTCCCATAAGCCGCGTGCCATGTCCCATAAGCCGCGTGCCATGTCCCATAAGCCGCGTGCCATGTCCCATAAGCCGCGTGCCATGTCCCATAAGCCGCGTGCCATGTCCCATAAGCCGCGTGCCATGTCCCATAAGCCGCGTGCCATGTCCCATAAGCCGCGTGCCATGTCCCATAAGCCGCGTGCCATGTCCCATAAGCCGCGTGCCATGTCCCATAAGCCGCGTGCCATGTCCCATAAGCCGCGTGCCATGTCCCATAAGCCGCGTGCCATGTCCCATAAGCCGCGTGCCATGTCCCATAAGCCGCGTGCCATGTCCCATAAGCCGCGTGCCATGTCCCATAAGCCGCGTGCCATGTCCATAAGCCGCGTGCCATGTCCCATAAGCCGCGTGCCATGTCCCATAAGCCGCGTGCCATGTCCCATAAGCCGCGTGCCATGTCCCATAAGCCGCGTGCCATGTCCCATAAGCCGCGTGCCATGTCCCATAAGCCGCGTGCCATGTCCCATAAGCCGCGTGCCATGTCCCATAAGCCGCGTGCCATGTCCCATAAGCCGCGTGCCATGTCCCATAAGCCGCGTGCCATGTCCCATAAGCCGCGTGCCATGTCCCATAAGCCGCGTGCCATGTCCCATAAGCCGCGTGCCATGTCCCATAAGCCGCGTGCCATGTCCCATAAGCCGCGTGCCATGTCCCATAAGCCGCGTGCCATGTCCCATAAGCCGCGTGCCATGTCCCATAAGCCGCGTGCCATGTCCCATAAGCCGCGTGCCATGTCCCATAAGCCGCGTGCCATGTCCCATAAGCCGCGTGCCATGTCCCATAAGCCGCGTGCCATGTCCCATAAGCCGCGTGCCATGTCCCATAAGCCGCGTGCCATGTCCCATAAGCCGCGTGCCATGTCCCATAAGCCGCGTGCCATGTCCCATAAGCCGCGTGCCATGTCCCATAAGCCGCGTGCCATGTCCCATAAGCCGCGTGCCATGTCCCATAAGCCGCGTGCCATGTCCCATAAGCCGCGTGCCATGTCCCATAAGCCGCGTGCCATGTCCCATAAGCCGCGTGCCATGTCCCATAAGCCGCGTGCCATGTCCCATAAGCCGCGTGCCATGTCCCATAAGCCGCGTGCCATGTCCCATAAGCCGCGTGCCATGTCCCATAAGCCGCGTGCCATGTCCCATAAGCCGCATGCCATGTCCCATAAGCCGCGTGCCATGTCCCATAAGCCGCGTGCCATGTCCCATAAGCCGCGTGCCATGTCCCATAAGCCGCGTGCCATGTCCCATAAGCCGCGTGCCATGTCCCATAAGCCGCGTGCCATGTCCCATAAGCCGCGTGCCATGTCCCATAAGCCGC